CTTTTTCGATTCTTTTGAATAATTGACTTCGGTCTTTGACAAGTTTGATCAGCCAATGTTTATTTTTTAATTCATTCCTCCAGCATGAGTCCTTAATGTGAATATTGTCGCGCCAGTGGAGTAGAAATCGTTCACCTTTATGTGTTATTACAGGCAGTAAATATCAGACATTCCAGATATTTTCTCTTTACTCTAACATTTTATGCTTTTAGAAAAACAAAAGAAAGAGAAGAAAAAAAAACAGTTTCGCTAATTTACAACGTTTGTTACTTAGAGAAATGGTATTTGTTCTACCGTTTGTATATCCAGTTTTGAGCAGTGAGTAAACTGTTCAACGAAATAAAATAGTATAACAAAATCTGTCACACAAACATGTGCACGTGAAATTTGAGCTATGGGTTTGTCGACTGGTCTCGTGTTTCTAAAATGACAAGATGGGGGGAAAGTGATATGCTTTTAAGACACATTAAGATATCTGTTTCATTGTTCACAAATCGTCGTCCCATCGTCATACGAGAAGTTATAGTTGTGAAATAATCGAGTTAGCAACTGATTTATTGTGTTTAATAGCAAATGCAGTCACGACACAACACTTGCGCACGATGGAGAAATTTAATAGCATATTTTTATTACTGGGTGATTCAACAATAACAAAAACTAGAACTGTGTCCAAAGGACACGAATGCCCCCACTGACAACATATATATAGTATATAGTGAAAAAATCAACAAAGGACCATAATTCTGTTAAATTTAGTCGCAGCGAAAATTCCTTCCTTAACTACCATCTACACATTAAGGTTATTCATCCCTGGAAGTTTAAGCAAAATCTGCCATCCGGTTTAAGAGGAGTTGCGTTCACAAGATTTCGGGACGTACGGACAGACAGACGTACGAACGGACGGATAAGTGCAACGCTATATGCCCCCCCCCCCACTTTGTGGGGGCATAAAAAATAAACAAAAGATGAGATGTCGAACAATTAATTCAAAACATAATACTTTTACTGTATAACTTATGTTACATATATCCAAAGTATTTTAAAATTAAACCACATATTAATACTGTTTTAGCTATATCAACATTTCAATGGCTGTAATCGTAATTAGTTGTTGAGGCATTATACGATATTTAATTTGGTTTTATTCAGGTTGAACACACACAATAATAAAATTTTAAATAAAAAAAGTAATTTCAAATTTTGTTTTATGTGCGGATGATCAAATCTAACGTCCCTGAACGTCCTATGTCGTCGTGCTCTTTTTTGCAAGTTTTTTGTGTTTTGCAAACTGTATAATTATGTATCTTTTAGCATGTTTTCTGTATAAATTATATTTCCATAAAGTTTTAATGTGTTCTTCTTTTTTTATTTTTACTTATTTGGCTCCAAACGTTAGTTTTTGTTCTTTTTTCTTCAAGCTTAAAACATCCATAGGGCGTATTTTATCAAGGAAACGTAGGATTTGAAAAGACATTATGTCCTGATACAATTTATTTTCAAATAAAACTGTAATTAACTAAATTCACATGGAAGTGCGAGTAAGTGTTCTATTTTACTACTATAAGATCCCCTATTTCTTCCGTAAATATGACTCATTCAGGGATAAATAAGTCAATTACTAAAAGACTAACCGACAAGATATAAAAAGATGATTACATACAAAAATATAACTGCACACGCACTTAATCATATAACAATGTTGTATTCTGAATACCTATTTTGTAAAAGTACAAAAATGTGGTAAACGTTAACTTCTCTATTCTTAAAGTACAAAATCCGAAATCATCATATACATTTCTAAAGTACACTAGATTAGTTCAAATGGTGGAAATTATAGGAATTGAAATGCAATTGACAAAGTTGATTTAAAAATACTTTTACATCGAAATACTGGTATGGCAAATTTCAGTTTGTATTTTGTGGACCCTTATTCTTTTATGGCAAATAATCGTATAGAAATATATACTAGTATTGAACTCTCAAAGTTGCATTCTTTATCGGAACTTACAGTTCTATTTAATTCGCAGACAAGTATTTTAGCTGAATAAAGGAATGGAAATAATGTCCTAATATTTGGAGAGACAATTTATAAAATGTAAACAAGGATGGTACGGTACATACCAGATGGCGTATCTCAGGCATTAGCAGATATGTTTGTCTAAACGATTGATCATGTCGGAAACTAACGGCCAATACTATTGTAATTAAAAACCGCAACAAACATTCAAATAGAATGTCTGAAAATATTGATATTTTATTTGGTTTTATTTGTATTTGTAATATATTCAATATTTGAAATTAACAGATAGAAATAAGATACCAATATTTTCGATTATCTTGTAACGTGTAGGGATATGTATCCAGTTTGACAATTGAAACACAGATGATCAAATATATTGAATGCAAAGGTACTTCAACTGCAAATTAGTTAGACTGATGATGTAAAAAAATGGCAAAATTAATGCTTAAACACCGAATTAATATCTTCATATTTGCATTTGATTAAAGAACAGAAATAAAGATGTGACACATTAACGGCACTTTTTTACAGGTCAGAAGAACAAATACAAAAAATATTAGTCTCTATATTTGCTGTGCAATACAATTCATTTTTCTGTTGTATAGAAGTGCGTACACATTAGATTGCAAAGCATACAAAACGCTAGTTCATTATTAATAGCTGAACGATTGTTGTAAATATTATAATAGGCGATCTAATGAAAGAAATATAGAGATATAAATAACAAAAAAAATATTGTCGCGTTCATACATCAATACTGATCATTTCAGAAAAAAGATAATACTTTTATTTAAGAAAAAATATTTTTATATTCAGAGCACGTGAAATCACTGCACCTCTCTGTGTTCTCTTAGCTACTAAATGTAAAAAAGATATATTCCAAAAACGTTTTATTACCAACTAAAACTTATGAAAGAAAGTATAAGCTAAGCATTATTTTTCACACTGCATTTCTTTCTAGAAATATCAAAAAAATATTGCTGCGTTCATACACAATACTGATCATTTGAGAAAACAATTATACTTTTATTTAAGAAAAATATTTTCATAATCAGAACACGTGAAATCCAATCATATCGATGCATTCTAAATTGTTCACAAACTCTCAGTGTAATCTTAACTACCAAATGTAAAAGCTAAATATTCCAAACAATAAAAATATATTAAAAAACCAACATTTTATTACCAACTAAAACATGTAAAAGAAAGTATTAGTTAAGCATTTTCTTTATAACTGATTTATAAATGAAACTGATTAAATGTTATTGTTTTGTTTAAAGGGTATAAAGTATATCTTATGAAATATTTTTATAAAACAACAGTACAATCATATTGTTTCCACAATCTTACGGCCGATTCACGAAAAAGTTGTAACATAGAAAGTGTCTGTTGTTTTTATTTAATACACGTGAATATTGTAGGTAAATAGAATAAAATGTTCCAGAAAAAAGTATTGTGGTGCTATTTTAAGTAGGGCTTTAATCGTTTAGCAATGATTTCGTGAACGTGCCGTTCACTTATAAGGCAATATGTACATTACATGTACCATATTCTTACATACAAGCATTTTTGTAAAATTCAAACAATAAATTTACAGCAGATACATAGCTTTATACACATTAACAATAACGAATAAAATGGAAATACTTTACTTTCAAATAACTCGCTATAAAAATAAATGATATAATATATATCCGAAATATTCAAATTTATTTATTATTTCGTTTGAAAAATGCATATAATCAGCCATTAAGTTACAAAAGGTAATTTTGAGACCTGAATGATGTAGTTCTTGCTATTTTGACAATATTGCAAATATCATTTCATTTTGCCCTTTTAGCACATATATGTATACCACGTTAAGTACTATTTTATGCATTAATTAATTAATAAATAATAAACGTGTATAATAAACACGAATATTTTTAATAAATCATTAATTGACCATATATTTCAGATCTGGGAAAACATGGACTGTCTTTAATATTGATATCATAAAACTTCTATAATTTTATTTCAGTCATGCTTTAATTTATCATGTAATCATGTGTGAAGACGAGTTACTGTTTATTTTTCTGTAAACAAGTATACCTGATGAAGACTTTAGAGTCGGTTGTGGTGTTGTTGTTGTAGTTTTCTTTTTGTTGTTGTTTTTTGTGTTTTTTTTCAATAAAACAATACATTTTTAACTTGAATCTGGAGTTGATTTCTATATTCAAACTTGCATGCTTATATTAAAGTAATTTTGTTTTTCAAGTAAGATATGTATAAAAATAATGATGCACAAATTGATACACATTTTTAACAAATGTCTTTCAATACAAGAATTTCCAATTAGATAATTTTTTATATCAGACTATATTATAAACATATCACCAAATGATGATTCCGTTTCTATAGTCAACCTTGTTTTCAGTACAAGGACTTATTTTTAAATGTGTACGGACGCAAACGTTACCAGGTAATTTCGGATAAAGTAAGCATTCTAAAAGCATTTCAGTGATCGGCGGAAGTGTTTCTATTCTATCAACATTACAAAAATGTTTCTCTAAAAGGACTCGCGCTCTTTCAGTGATAAACAAGCATATAGTGTAACAAAACGTATCTTATGAAGTGTTAGGGTATTGAATAATATATGACACAGGAATTCGTGATTTCCAGGATTCATGTACAATTGAGTTATGAGTTTTTGACATGCAGATTGTATGAAAAAAAAACGATAACAGCTTTGCACCAATGTCTTTTTGTATCAGACCCGTTGCATATTTTATCAACAAAATATAATAAATTATATTGCGTGTCTGAAAATATTTCTTATACAAATTAATGCGCTTTTCTTCTTTTTGTCGCAAATAAAAAGCAATAGGTAGACTTTCTTTTGCGTATACCATACAAGCCCAGAACACATTATGTTTTATTATAATATAGACTTCAAACAGTATAAAATTATTTTGCTGCAAATATTTAAAAACCCACTTACCGTCCAAGAAAATTGAAAAGGTAACTTGATAGACGCCGCTGGAGTGCCGGCTGCATACCTGAACGAGTTCCCGCCAAGAACAGGTGTAGTTTTGTTACCAAAAGTGCACTTCCCGTCAATGGTCACCTGGGTTTGGTATTGTTTTAGACAAACCTGAAGGTAAGTGTTGCACACGCCACTGCACGTGCTATTTCTATATGTATCAATCCTTTCACCGCAGCACGTGCCATTAGAAAGTTCACCTCTAATATTCTCAATAGATATAATTTGTATTTCAAAATATCCGGATCCTGTACAACTATTTATAAATACACTTAAAAGCAGAAAGTTCCAAAAGGTCATCTTTGCTTTAAGAATTTCAACACGTAAAACCACAATTTTTGACTCTTATACCTCCTGCACGTGCACAATGTCAAATCATTCAAACGGAAAAAATATCAGCATAATGTCATTTCAACGCCCTTTTTCCGTTTGCAAAAATAAAATTAAATGCAACATTTTAAAAGTTTCAATACTTCATAACGTGACATAAATAGAGGCTGCCGTTTCAACTAGGGAATTAAATCCTATTCATAATAAGTATTTGCATTCGATTATTAAAAGAAAAACTTTAAGAATTTTTATCCACCTCGGTTTGAAATATTGAGCGAGTCTTGGAGTACTGGAGTAGTATTTACTCCAGAGCAACATCACAAAAGATAGACGGCGAGTATGTTTGCCTAACCTGTGTTCCGCTCACATATTGGGTTAGTCGCCCCGTATCAATTGCTATGGAACAATTAGCCCAGACATTATTGAATTGCCTTAAGGGGGTTGCATCCATAAATTATAAACCATGTCGTAATTAATGAATTTATATGAAGGCAAACACTACTTGATCATTCAAAGGTCGCTTTCTTGGGTTATAGCTTTTTTTAAAGACCAATGGAATGTCGCGATGTATTGTGATTTTTCCCGTCCTTTTTTTAGCAAGCGTTGGTGGCACGCGGGCCGGTTTACATACACGTGTGTAGGATAAGTGGCACGCGACCGACTTGAATTATCCTATATTTAATAACAGTCATTTTTTATTTCATTTTTGTTGTTGTTGTATTTACATACATTTTTTCTATGCAGTTCTTCACATGATTGTGTCTGCATTCAATACACTGCATTTACTAAGTGCATTTTCTTACAGTAAGCTGGTGTATATTTTTGTTTCAGTTTTCAAAAGAAAATGTTAAGAACAACAATTTATCTTGGTTAAATAGCATTTAATCAGGCGATGTTACATTTTTACAAATATACTTGCAGAAATAGGCATCTATTATAACGTAAATATTCCAGGTAACGTTCAGTATCGTGGGAAAGTGATGCTTTTGTAGTATATAGATCGTTAAATTACACATGTTACCTTGAGAGAGTATATATAAAATCTTACTATATCATCGTACTTTACATCTGTGTTATAGTGGAAGTAAATAATTAAGTTAAAACATAACGCTTGCCACATTGTTTTTATTCACTTTTACTTACGATAGACTCATATATTAATTATTGTTATTATTCACACTCTTACAATATTATTATGACTTGCTGAGTACAATACTGAATTCTATTGAACGAGTACACATGTAGCTATCAAAACTATAATGGACAAAGCGGCAGCCGAGTCTGATATAGGTTTTGAAGCTGTGTACGAGTCCAATAGAATCACTCTTTTTATTAATATTGTATAATGACCTCTTTATTTCACACCATCTTTTTTTTGACATTTACACAGAACTTTGTAACTTCAATTACAATAAGGATTTGATGTGGAACAAAAATAAAAAAGGCTAGATGGAGTATTCTATCCATTTGATATAGATATTTTGGACTTAAAATGAAACCGAGGCTTTATGGAGTGCGATATGGATTTTATATGGACTCTTTGATCTCTGAAAATGAAAAGGAGGCTATGTGGGTGCGATATGGATTTGATATGGACTTTTTGGACTCTGGAAATGAAAACGAGGCTAAATCAAATTTCATTGGAACATTGCGTCGTTCAAACGCTGAAAGTTCATTGGTATTATTTTATCAGGTGTGAACTAAAATACATTTTCAGTACAATTGTACGTACTGTGATATTTAATGTATTACAAAAAATTGATGTATGGAATGAAGTGCACTGAGAATTTTGCTGAGTTGATTTCACACCTTATAAAATAATGATTTACACAAAATGTATACGAAAATCCATCGCTTTAGTATTTTTTCTTGTTTTTTTTTGTGTTTTTTTTTCTTTAATATCTATTTTACCTAGCGTTAAAACGCGCTGAATGTAAGCGCGACAATGAAATAATGTTTGTTTTTAAAGAAGTATGGTTCTTTTTTAGTACATGATAAATAGAATATTATATACGTGTACATTCACTACTAAATTTATTGCCAGAGGCTCGCATAATACAGGTTTTTTTCAACTTAGTATTGAATCTAAACTCATTCAATATTTTCTATTTACGGTTATCACAAATATTGTTAAAACTGCCATATTTTAGGTCTATTTGTTGCCATAGTAATCAAATTTTTCCACATAGGAAGAAAAAAATAAAATCGTGCATAATCAGTCAAACTCTGACAAATCTTAAAAATCAGTCAGTTTTTTTTCCGCGCAATCCATATTTCTGGGGACCGATTTTAACATTTGATATGGTTTTGTTTTTATGACTAATGCATGCTTAGGTGTTAGTCTCATTTCACTTAAAAGCATTCGGGAAACTTTAAGAACTAATGTGAGCCGTGACGGAACTGATGACATAAAATGACAACTTTTTGTCTTCATACGGCATTTTCAACACGTTATAGTACTTTCATAAACTTCAAATTTGTGGCATTTAAAGTCAATAAAAAGAAAATGTTTGTCGAATTAGCATGTCAAGCTTTTTTGCTAATTAAAGTTAATGTTGGCCCATGATCGTGAGGCCACAGTAACCTTGTCTATTTTTATCGTACTTGTGCGCGTGTTGCTAGAAATTTCGTTAAAGTGTTCGAATTAACTCTGTAATTAGCTTTAATTGGTGTAGAATTTACACCTTGCCAACATCAAATGAACACGTGCAGGAGTTAATGCTTGCAGAGTTACATTTTTTGAAGGCTTGAAGTATTCAGTGATCAGACTGGATGTGATCGTTCCTTCGCACTTCGGTCTTCATTTCCCTATTTATTTTCATAAAATAATGGTTTGCGTGTATACCTAAATTGATACTGTATGCGTTTGGAAAGTAAAAACAGTTGTTAAAAAGAATAGAAAGTTGGTTCTCAGATTACACGATGAAATAGTATCTTTAGCTTCATAAGCATTGTTCATAGCAGTCAAAATATTGCTTGTATTAAAATCATGAAGTTCGTCGAATTTTTTAGACTAGCATCATTGCTTTTATCAGAATGTTTATCCATTTTAATTTAGGAAGTATTTACTACTATAGGAATCTCCAGCAGCTGGTTTCTATAAGTATTTGTATTTCTCGCGATTTTGAATCTGCTGTAACCTTCATAAATATACCACTGCCATTTTTCCACAATGAATAAAAATAACATGTTATTGTTGTGATTAAAAAACATGTCATATTTTATTTCTAAAGTTTCATTAGCACTCTATAGTTAGAAACAAACTGTGTTTTGTCATGTGGTGGACAATGCATGGTTCAATTGGGACTGACAGAGCCATTGTGAAGGACTTGATTTAGTTGCTTGAGAAATTTGTTTATTAAGATATACAACTGATTAAATTGTTAAAAATTTAGAGTGAAATTCAAAGTTAAACTAAGCACTATTTATTAAAGGGGGTCGGGTCGGTTAATAAATGGTGGTTAGCTCTTTATAAAATCAAAAACATGTACATGTGTTTTTGTTCAATTTATTAAGTTTGCTTAAACACAAGTTTTCAATACCAACAAGTTTGAAATAATTGGATGTAAGAATTGACAATTGACTCCGTGACAAAAGCAATGTTTTCCTAAAATTATGACATCAAAAACTTGAAACTCTGTAAGATATTTTGTTGTAAGGTGTTTTTAATACGTCTAACAATAAATGAATGAATATAATCTGGGAAGACGTAAAGTACTCTTCCAAGATATAATTATATTTGAATAACACATATACGACTGAAACATAAGAACAATCTTTGTCATGGATATCTTTACAAAAACAAATATCTTAAAAGTACAAATTGGCTTACAATGAGAACATCTTAAATAAGTAGTTCGCGTATTGATAAAAACAATAAATATATATTTTGATATTCATGAGAAAAATAGGGTTCAATGTAATTTATGATGAATAATAAAATTTTTGTTACAGAACAATTTGTAATTATTTATGGTATAACAGACCTTATGACCAATTCACTTTTAAAATATTTTACAGTGCACATATTTAGTGTTTGAATTGATCATTCCATATATAACAACTTTAGATCTACATAATATGACATGAATTCTTTAGAAAGCAGTAAAATGCCAAATACCGTGCGGACTTCTTTATAGTGACATAGGCGTGCCTAGAATAAAATAAAGTTGAAACATCATTTATTTTGTAACAATATAAATACGAATTTTGCGTCATTTTGGTTTATATATTTATGCATGTATTTAACTTAAAACGTTTTACAACATATTATATTTATTCTATAAACTAATTAATGTCAATGATGTTTATATCTTATCAATATTTTTGCAGAACCGTCTGAACGGATAGTTCCTTAAAAGAAGCCATCTTACAGCCCACTCTTCGCTAGAACTTGACTTAAGTATCCTTACGATCACATTCATTGGCGCAGTTGGGAAAAATACCATCATTCTTGCAACAGCCGTTGGGAAATCTATCTGAAAAGAGAAGTTCTCTGTTGCGTCAATCTTTTTAATATATCTTTCCTTAATTTCTAGTCTCCGTCTCTGAAGGTACACCTTCTGAAGTTCCGCTTCTCGTTCAATCCCCGTCAGTCTCCCGTACATGTACGCACTCGTCTGAACTGTCCTATCTTTACGACATGTTTTAATGAACATTAAAATTAAAAATGACACTACTACCACTGCAATAACGATATAGTACCATTGATTCTTCAACCAGTTGGTTACACTATCGACTTCTTCATGTGTAAAAACTTGCTTAAATCTGTCCATTGTGCTAGTCTCGTCGACTGATATGCACTCACCGTTTCCGTTACAAAATCCGTGTTTTGCATTACATGATATTCCGCTTGTTAATGCCAGTTTTTCATTCTTATCATTTTTATACGGTACACATTTTGATAGAGAATTTAAGCAACACGTGTAACACGTATTTTCATTTAAACACGAACATGGGTTTTGGTTGATAGTTGCACATATACTCCCTACACACAGTCCGCCTGTACAAGATTTGGTACCACTAGCACAGGGCAATTTATCCGGAAGTTTGACTTCAGTGGCACATACACTTGACATGCCGTCACATACCGATTGCTCTGTACAGTCTGACTGAGCTTTACATACTTTGTTAGCAGTTACTATTTTGCAGTCTCCCGTACAACACAGTGATAACTTTGGGGAACATCTACTCCCATGTGATCTACGGAATGTACAAGGGTGGTCGGGGTCTGAATCACTCACATCACTCGGGGTACAGCAGGGATCAACCGCAACACACGTGACAGTCGTACCACAGTCACACTCCTCATTTTTCTCACGTACACCATTGCCACATTGTGAAGCAACTGTCTGCTTTAAACAAGTACCTTTATTTCTGATAACTGGGTACATATAATTTATACTACATGGTGAGAAAATGTTATTGTTGGGTTTGCCACCTTCAGATGCGTATGGATACATCAGGTAATTTCCGTAACCTCCTGCGGGAGTGCAGACAGCATTATTTAAGTCATCGTGTGGACTGCCAAAACTATGACCAAATTCATGAGCCAAAATCAAAGAAGATAGGTACGCGGGAATCTTTCTATCCCGATTCATGGTAGTTATCAAGTTAGTATTGAGGTACATTCCCTTCGACTTATATACTATGCGGTGTTGGCAGATTCCTCCGGGTCCATGGATATTCGAACTTCCTACCCAAGCTAATCCAACAACACCATCTGCAAAATTTTGACTTGTAAATGATGTTGCCAGGCAATAATCAGAAAAATCATATTCGGAGAACTTTTCTAGGTATGACTCGACGCTCGCTGCATTCGCCATTTTGTAAGTATCAAATTCGGTATAAATAGAAATATCTGAAATGTAAAATCCAATGTTATCACCTGACCCGTCCCCGTCGAAATCTGTCCCTCGAAAAATCAAATTAGCTTGTAAAATGATGTAAGACATTTCTGCTATCGTTGTCCGAATGTCAGAATGGCCGGTGTTTGTGTAAAATTTGTAATCGGCAACCACATGAAGTGTGCACTCAGTTTGTAAAGGATTGCGTGTTTCCCGTTTATATCTGCCGTTTGAAATTACTTCAATGTCATCAGTGATCTGTGTTAAATTAGTTCGCCCTTCCCAATAAATTCTTGCTCCATTAACATCCATTTGGACATCACTTGATTTATAAAATATGCACCGAAATTGTAAATATGTAGACGATTTGGCTGTATATTGTTGGGTTTTATCTTTTCCACTCGTTTCATACCTTGAGGAAGGCTCTAAATAATAAAATTGATTGTCACATATAATGACTGCATCCAATCCCTCTCGCGTAACTTTGGTGTGAATGATGTACTCTGTCTCACATGCATTGGACGTCATATTACCTTTATAAAACATTATTCCTTCATCCAGACTTGATAAGGGAACATGATACTTATCGTTTACATTAACTAGTAAAGATTTGTCCAGAAACGATGGGATTTGAAAAACCAAATCAAAATGATATCTGTCATCAGATGTGTTAAAATCGAGTTCGGCTTGTTGTCTGTCATCGACAAAGTGTTTGTTTTTCACTAAAACATTTACCATTTCATAATGAGAAAACCATGTCTTCTTTTCTGTTCGATCATTATCCTCATGTGCAGCTGTAAGTGACATAACAGAAAATATTAGATAAACAATACGCGATTTAAATTTTCCCGCCATCTCAGCTTGATAATAGCTACCCAGTCTGTTCTGGGTCATTCAAACGCTTACTTCCGCCTTTCAAAAAAAAAAATGACGACGTTCGTTCACAGTTTCAGTTCTCGGCATGTTTTATGTTTAGATCATGCCCATTTCAAAACTGTCGGTGATCTTAAGTCTTATCTTACGACCGATAAAGTAGGTTATATTTTTTTTCTTGATTAAAATACGATCCGTTATAAGTTTTTCAACTATTGACTTGTGTTTTCGCGACGTCATTGTTTTATTTTTCCTGGCGATATTCGCCGGGTTTTGTTTATAGTATGCATTTTATATTAAATAAAAACAAAACTAAATAAGAAAAGATATTACTTAAAATGTTCATATTAATTTTTTTTAATTTTGTTAAAAATGTATGTGTTAGGAACCGAAGATATATGAAAGTACATGTGGCTTGTAAACTAAACACAGTTCAAATCTAGTTATCACAACAGTATTTTCACTAAAAGCCAATTAAACACTGTTTAAGGGTTTTGACACTTAAGAATAAGACAAATAAACAAAATAAAAGTACAGCTACAGTAGAACTTCGCTAAGTAAGTTGAAGTTGAAAGGACTTGTGTAAAAACTTCGACACATCAGGACTTCTAATTAATCAGTCTCAATTTTGTGACAAAATTTAATAACATTTAATGACAAAAGGGAAGAAGTTGAACGATAGCAAAACTAGCCGATAGTAAAATTAACACACAATAAAAGGTGTGAAAATTGTCTCGAGATCAAAGGTGTCAGAAAAATCGAAGGAATTTGACTTATTTATGATAAATTGTACTTGATTCATTCTATAAGGACCACGAGAAAACTTCAACACATCAAAACATTCTACACATAAAATTTCGATTTGTGTATAGGTTTTTGTAAAAAAATCTATTGTAGGGGAAAAAAATCAGGACTTTCGTTTGATTTAGACACATCGAAAAATCCAACAATTAGGGTTCAAAAATTCCATTTGTCCGCTCATATTTATGAGTAGATATCGATGCAGGACGAGTACAAAAGTGTTGTAAGCTAGTCCGGCAGGACAAGTGGAAATTTGCCAATGTAATAGAAAGCTAGAATTCTTAAAATCTGTTTGTTTACATTTAACAATGGAAAACCAGAAACAGAGCTTGTGTTTTAGGTTATGTATTATTTGCGCACTTTATAAAGCTCTGAAGGCATTGTTAATTGGATACAGGTGTGACTTGAATGTGTCTTACAATGCCCTATAAAGTGCGCAATTTATACATAACCCAAAACACAAGCTTTGTTTCCGTAATGGTTTGTTAAATTTATTTTATGTAAAGAAATTGATTATGAGAATTTTTAGCGGTCTTTTGCATCGGCGAGGTACTATTGCATAGGCGTAGTTTATCTTGAAAATCGAGGCAAAAAAAAATAGGACAAGTAGCAAAGCATGCAGGACAAGCAGAAATTTGAATCCACTCATCCTGCAGGACAAGTGGCTCTGAAAAGAATTTTCAATCCCTGCTAATGGAAGTTTGACTCAGAGAAGTTCTATTGTATTTATGTTATGTCCTGGCAGGATAAAAAAATCGTGATATAATGAATCTCTGCCTCCTTTGACATATTAGAGTCAGGCTTTGATGTTCTTTCATTTGTGCCACATTGAGAGGTTGGCCAAATCATTTGAACCTGATCATTTAAAAAGGGAAAAAAGCATGTCTCGTTCATCTGTTTTAGAGAGTTGGGAATATTTGTGTTACACATTTGTAAAGGAATGATACATGTTCAAAAATCTATTTTCCAAAACATATGATTTAAATATGGGAAAAAGGTCTTTCATTATTCAAATTTTTTTTTTAGTTAACCTGTTTTACTGTCTGAGGAAAATTACTTTCTTTTAATCATGAATAAGTATTCAACATGTTTTCACATATATATATTTTTTATACGAAGAAATTTCTTGTCAAGGACACTGATGGTGAAAATGCCGAAATACTTGCACCTTTCCTTTCCATGTTTTGATTTATTGAATGTCCAAAAAGACACCCAACTGTTGTTAAAAATATATGCAAGAATGTGGGTTCTTTATGCCAAATGTGCTAACATATGTTGAAGTTTGAGTCAATAAAAATGCAGTTTTGACCCCCTAATTCCAGCTGAAAGTCCAGTTTTGGCCCATTTCAGTTATCACATGTATGTGTCCTTCAAAAAAATAGTGAATCTTAAATTGGGTTGTAAAATACAAGTCATATTTAGAATATTTTGGTAATTGACTTGTTTAACATTTCAGGGATTTCCAAAGGATGGCTCATTTTTTGTGTGTAATGGTAGCATTGTGAAAGACTCTGAACCAGTCCAGAAAAATGCTGTCTACCACACTCACCTTAGACTTCCTGGTGGAAAGGGAGGTAATAAATCAACTTAAAATTGCATGTCATTGACCTTTATTTGTGTATACTGATAATGAACATTATAATTAATTAATTATTATTATAATAAAAGTCTTGTTCTCAAGATCTATATAAAGACTACTGCCCAGCATGATGTACACAAGATAGACAAGTAATTTTTGATAAAATCATACCTTAAGTGGACTTTCTGTCTTTAATTTGGATAAAACCATTTTCAGGGAAATTTTCAACAAAATATATACTGACTGAATAGCGAACAGTGCAGACCATAATAAGCAGATTGTGCAGATGTTCAGGCTGATATTGGCCTGCACTAGTCACCTGGGCAGATTCATTCTGTTGACACCAGCAAGCTTAAGTTAATGACTTGTATAGTCTATTATTATATAATTAGAATTTAACAATCTTTTTTTTCCGTACAGTTTAATATAAATAAATAAGTGATATGCAGGCTTAAGTTAATTACCGGTACTTGTATAGTGTATTATTATATAATTAGAATTTAACATTTTTTTGTACAGTTAAATATAAATGAATAAGTGATATGCATCTTGGTTATTTTCAGGTTTTGGATCTATGTTGCGTGCCATTGGTGCACAGATTGAGAAAACAACCAATCATGAGGCTTGTAGAGATTTAAGCGGACGTAGAATGAGAGATGTTAACAATGAAAAAGAGTAAGTCTTTACAGCTTCTTGAATTTAGCTTGTTAATAAAACAGTTAGGTTGATAAATGTTAGTTCTGGCTTCTATAAAATTATATGTCGCTTTTATTTTGACATTGTGCGACAGTTAACAAGTCTCGCAGTACTATAAAACCTGTTTGCTGAAGTCTCTTTGGCTAGATATATGTGCATTTATTTTAAGACAAAATTAAGTGTTTTAATTGAGTACATACTAACCACTCAAAATTCTACTGATTGTTTAAACTGTATTGTAGTTGTCATTCTTAACACTGACACAGGTTTCATTAATTTTCAATGTCATGAAGCACATTATCTTGAAGCACATTTCTTTTTACTTCTTGATTGGTACATTTCTTTTTTACTTCTTCTAGTTTGAAAGAATGGTTGGGAAAGCAGGCGGAGAGAGAGCGTGAACGCGAAGAGAAGCGCCAGGAACGTCTTGCCAGAAGACGAGCCATGCCAAATCATAAATTTGATGATCCATTGTATGATCAACAGAGATCATTACTGGCTGAGAATCAAGAAGATGCCTTACAAACAGGTTTGTTATGAATGTCATCAAGTCATTTATAGGGAAAATATTTTGATTTGTTTAATTTAATTACAGATTGATTGAGTTCAATAACTAGTTTCAATATAAACTTCAGTTTTTAATTTCTACAAATTTATTCATTGATTTATAATTTTCTGATACAATGTATTAAAATGTTCTACATGTCATATTATGCAATAGTTTAATAACATTCCAAGTGAAATTTGCATCCTTGTATGATAGTACAATTTAACAGAGGGCAGATCTCTTTTTGATATTATGTTAAACCAATTTAGAGTCTTTAGTTCTAGACTTGGATTCTAAATGCAAGCTGTTGGAAGCTGACATAGGCTTTGCTCTTGGAACCAATTTGAACTCTATTGTTGAAAGTCAACATAAGCTTTTGAGAGAGTGATCCATATTAATAATATACAATTGTACATTAAATGTATACTGACTAACATTTATTATCATTACAGGGTTGAAGAAGTTTATAGGTAAGCAAGGTGCATCTGCAACTGTGACGTCAGATGAAATGCAGGGAGTGAAGAGAAAACCAGAGGAGCAGGGAGCCAGTGGGTCTGGTACCTCAAAGAAAAAGAAAGATGTAGAATGGTAATTTGATAATTGTAAAGAAAGAATAAATTATTTGAAGTTATTTAAGCAAAACTCCTTATAAAATTTACCTTCATTGCTGTGTGTTTAGGTTCAACAAGTGGGTCATGAATTATGTAAGATAACTTTTAGGTTGGTGGGAGTACCCACATACATGTTTAGTCAAATAAAAGCCCTGGGGTCAAAATTGGCCCTGCCCCAGGGGGTCATTGATTTTCCCTATATGCATATAGTAGAAACTTAAAAAAATCTTCTTTTAAAGAATCCAAAGAGCTAGAGCTAAGATATTTAGCATGAAACATCTTCTAATGGGTGTCTACCAAGTTTGTTCAAATAAAAGCCCTGGGGTTTAAACTGGCCCCGCTCCGGGGGCCTATATACAGGTGAGCGACTTCAGGGCCATCATGGCCCTCTTGTTTAACTTCTATGTTATCCAGACTCTTGATTTACTTAGCACTGAGAATTGTAGAGCATGATATCCTACAGACAGCTCTTGCTATTTATAGTATTTGACTTTGATTGTTTCTTTTGTAGGCTTGGTGTAGATATAGATAACATAAGTGACCTTGACAGTGATGAAGAAACCTTCAATAGTAGTGATTCAGGGCAAAACAACATGGTTCCAGGCTTACATAAAGGTGACCAGTCTATAAACAAAGGAAGTGATTCAGAACAAAGTGAAACATTCAAATTATCAAATGATGCACAGAATTCTGTTGAAAATGACACAATGTCTTCAAACAATGCTAGTGACATTTCAGACATTAATCAATGTAAAGACACTGGTGTTAAGAACAACATATCTGACACTACATCACAGTCTGAGCCATCAGCAGAATGTGAACAGGTGAGTTATATTGTATTAAAGGAGATCCTGTCGGGTCATAAAGCCTTGAATGGAAAAATCGGCACAAGTTAATAAAGAAATATACTCGGAGTTAAATTGAAAATCCATTTTAGTACGATTCTTAGGCTGATTTGAGTTGTATCACTTTTCATTTTTGCACAATGACAGTGATTATTCTTGGAAAACCTAGTTAGGGAAGGACCTGAAATTTACACACAAGTTACAAGCTCAGACCTAAATCATGTCCTGAAATGGTATACAAGTCTAAAAAAATTCTCATTCATTTCAAAAGACCTCAATAGAGTCCCTTAAAATAATAATCTTTCTATGAAAACTTCTATCATAGTTCATACAGGTTACATCTTTATTTCATGAATTGGTGGAAGAATTTTCATAAGATTGTCTTTAGCAATATTGTATGGATCTTTCCAAAATTTATTCAAGTTAGTAAATATCAAATACTTTTGAATGACTTCAGCTGTTCAACCCATGGCTTTGTCAGACTTGGTATATAATGTTCTAAAATGGTCATCATGACTAAACATATTATATTTCAAGTAGTGATTGACATTTTTCTTACAGGAAGAGAAGCCCCTATGTCTGGAGGATGTTGCCAATGTGAAGGATCTGGAAGCATTTGGTTTGGATAGATTAAAGCAGGAACTTATGAGCCGAGGTTTGAAGTGTGGTGGTACACTGGAGCAGCGTGCTCAAAGACTTTTCTCTGTGAAAGGCCTGACGAAGGATCAAATAGACTCAGATCTGTTTGCAAAGTCAGCTAATGGGAAAAAAGTGAAAAATAGAAAGTGAAACTATTTCAATGGCAGACATTATTTACACACAGGAGAGTTATTAGTTAAATTGCAGAATGTTGAAGCAATTGTCCATTATATTAAATTATTTAAAAACTTTGTACAGACATAAATCAAAGAAATGTTTTTTTTAAAAAAAACAACAAAAAACAAACTTTTATTAAATTTCTTCAAGATAGAATTCTTAAGCACCTGAAGGTTAAAATGAATTTTTGAACAGCTTTTGGCAATTTAAAGTTTTTAGAAATGTAATTTTAATGTAACATAGTCAAAAAGTGAAATGTTCAAAACAGTATTGCATATTGATTTTAAATTGAATAAAATTCATTACATTATACATAGATTTGTTTGTGATATGTACTGTTTTATGGTCAGGAAATTAACTTGTCCTATTTATAGTGAGCAAGATGTTAAAGGAACTTCACTGAGGTACAAAAGCCTAAAATATAAAATGTTCATTTCTAACATAGACCAGCTGGGACACTTAAAACAGAAATATATGCAAAAGAGAGTTAAGAAATATACCTAGAAATAAATAGAAAAAATTGTATTTTTATGCCCAGTCGAGTTGCAACACTTTTCAAATTTGGGTAGTTTTATAAGCCATATGTTATGGGAACGCAGTGTCCAATTTTGTCTGGAGCATATCTGCTACATGCATGAAGGGATTTTAATGAAACTTCATAGAAAGAGAAGCCGTGTGACGCACATGAACCAGGTCTCTTGGTCAAAGTTCAAGATCACAGAGTTAATTGAAAAATCCTTGTCCGGAGAAAAACTACTTCATGCATAGAGGGATTTCAATATAACTTGGCACAAATGTTCACCATTTTGAGGCAGAGTGCTCTAATGTTCACTCATTGTCAGTTACCCACAGTATCTTTTCTGTACATACTAGATAAAATAGTAAGTACAAAATATATACTGTTGGTAACCAACAATGATGTTCAATAATGTGAGGCGAAGTGATGAAAGCTAAATTTAGGGCCCAGCTGCCACACATGGGAGTCGTTATTCAGATAAAATATGAAGATGTGTATAGGGACCATTTAGTCATCATTTATTGAGGGATTGTAACACAAATGGTCATTATCATGGCTGTAACACTTGTGATTTAGGTCAATATATGCAAGGTCGAGGCCACTAAGGTTCATGAAATATCTCTTGCATACTTGGAATAACTTTTATAGCACTCTATAGAAATTTTTACCACCATGCTCTGTGCATTATCCAGGTCAAAGGTCAAGGTCACAATTAGAGCTGATTGAAAAATACTTGTCTGGAGCAAAACTTCTACATTCATAGTGGGATTTTAATGTAACTTGGCACAAATGTTCACCATTGTGTGGCAGAGTGTCACACACAAAATCCAGGCTCTGCAACCAAAATCAAGGTCGCATGCAGAGGTCAAAGTTCAGAAAAAAATATGAAGATGTGTATAGGGACCATTTAGTCATCATTAAATGATGGATTGTAACACACATGGTAACTATCATTACTACAGTTCTTAGTTCTTACACATTAATATCCTGGTATTGTCCAGAGCATATTTCCTACATGCACAGAGGAATTTTTATGTTACTTTATAGAATTGTTCACCACCATGAGATGTAAAGGCCAAGCATGAACCAGGTCAAAGGTCAAGGTCACACTTAGATTTTCAAGATTTTATTCAATATTAGAATGTGTGACATAAATACAAATTGTGAACATGTAACAACCGGAACACAGAAAAAATATACATAAAACATGAGAATGAGTGACAATGATATTGTACCCATAAAATGAAATAAAGATATGACAAGATTATCAATAATAACCAGAATTTATGCTTCAATAGCAAAATTTCCAGGAGACTAATAATACAACATTATACTTAGATCTCTTTGAAAAACACTTGTCTGGAGCAAAACTTCTACATGCATTGAGGGATTTCAATATAACTTGACAAAAATTTTTATCATTGTGATACTGACAACAAACCACAAAATAATTATATATAGATGTTTTTGGTAAAGTATTGAGAATAATTTTGTTATCTTAAAGATTTAAAGAAAAAATATTTTTACACCCTGTATTTTCTTCCAACTTCATACATTACTTTCATATGATTCAGAATCTCTTCCGCGCTGAAGGTATGTATATGTTTTAGGCCCTTTGCTGGTGTGAATATATTTTCAGGCCCTTTGCTTTACTTCTTTTTTCTTCAATGATCTTCTTTTCTTCAATTTTAACTCTTTGCGCGTAACACTTTGTGCCAAGCGTTTAAATAACACGGAGTTTAAATAATATGTTAACCAGTCTGTAACCGGAAATAGCATGGATGTCAGATAGCAGATTTGTTTACATGTACAAATAATTTACTTTTAATATGCTTCTGACCGTTAATAGTGGCTATAAACTTACCGTAGATGATTATCGGGACCAGGGAGCTAAAATTACAATGACCAAAAAGAAAGGGTTAAAGCAGATTGTTTGCATTTTAGTTATTTTGGTCTCCTATTTTGCAACATTTGTAAAATTGAAAGCAACAGATATTTCTAAAATCCAGGTGAGGATAAATAGGGAGAGTTATAGAGATTGATCAAATTTGTAGCTTTCGATCACCACATTATTTCTTACTGATATTAAAGAACCAGATTTTGTGTCATCTTAAAAACTCTTATTATTTTCATGAATACATGAGAGCTTGTACATAAAGTAGATTTAATTTTTTTTCTTTCCTTGGGTTTTATTTCGTACCAACACAGTATTGGTCATGTGGCGACATTTCAGCTTAACTGGTTGTGAAATATCTTGGGTGCCCTTCCGTGCATTATTTCAGGCACGAACGAGCACCTAAGTAGAACCACCGACATTCCTTGGCTTGCTGGATAGCTTCCTCACATGAAAGAATTCATAGTCCCTATATACTGATGAGGGGCAAGTGGATCAATGTCAACAACATAAACCACTCGGCCACGCCCCTTGATCTAACTACATGAATTATAAAGTTTAAATCATCAAGAAATGTATGCTGCAATCTAACTTCTGTCTGGACCAAAACACTCATTATTTTAAGTGTAAACTTGAAATGTTAACTGACTGAATAGCAAACAGCGCAAAACATGATCAGGCAGCTAAGATATCTGACTTATTTCGGTCTGCACTGGTTGAATGGGTAGAATCAGTTGACGGCAGTAGACTAAGGGTTAATTATAATGTGAAACAAATTAGAACATACTTTGTCTATATAAGTTCATTGTCAGATACCCACGGCCGAACCATTAACATTTATCAGCCGTGGAATTTTTGCCGATATCCAGTTTATTAGAGGTGTATCAAAGAAGCTATTTCATTGGTTGCCTCACAATTACATGAGGTGATTAAAACCAACCAAAACGCTCCTTCTGATAGTTTTTACCTTTGACATTGAAGAATGCAGGTTTTGTTGAACGGGATTTTTTTTATTGATGCATATTTTAGGCACCTGTGGCTGTATATCAATGCAAGTCAATTCATTTTGCATGTTAATCAGCAGTGGGTATCCGAAGATGATTTAAGTTATAAAATGTCTTATTCTTACAAATATCATATTATAGGGAGATAAAATCCAATTTGAAATAAGCAAACATTTGATTTTATTACTTTGCAGTTTTATGTTGGCATTATCATGACGATTGCAGCTTTACTATACATTATTTACCAGTTGAGAAGAGTATATTCAGGTAAAAGTGTCTTTTAAATTTTATCTTGCTGTCCCTTATTATTTGCCTCATTTAATAGTCTGTAATACAAATTACCCAGATGGATTTATTGTGTTCTCTAACTTCATTAAGTCATTATGGTATACTTTTATTTTAGAAATATTGACAACTTTTTTTTACTTACTTTTTTTTTAACTTTACTAGAAATTACAAGTCTGTTTAACACTGTGGCAGCATCGCCGAGTGGTTAATGCATCAGAGTACTCAGAAGTAATCTAAGGAAATGCTAGCAGCACAGGTTCAAACCCGGTCAGGGGCGAGGCATTGTTTCTTTTAACAGGAAACTTTACTCTCGTAGCTCAGTACTGGTTGGTTCCAGGAACAAACTTTTGAGTGTGTCTATAAGCTTAATTCTTTCCTAGATAGTGGAACTAAGAATAAGTTATAAAGTTACACTAAAAAGTAAACTAATATGAAGTGGCTGAGGGTAGTTCCCAATTCACATGATCAAGAATTCTGAAGAGTTTACAATTTCTAACTGATACATGTCAGGAGTGACCAGTGAACAACAGGTTCCGGGCTCCTAGGCTTCCATCTAACCATCAAACATTAAAATTAACATGGAAAAGTAATTGCACTTCTGTTTTTATTTTCTGTACTTTCATCCAATGATTGTATTATTTATTTCAGAATCTCTACTGATAATAGCATCTATTGGTGTCACTGTCCAACAGTCATGTCTACTTGGGACAAGCTCAACATTTTATGAACTTCGTCAAATTCAAGATATTGTTATAATAGAAGCTGTTACCATGGTATGAAATATGTGTTCCCACTTCCTTTAGATCTATCATTTTAAAACATATACAATGCAACCTCTACAGAGGGATAGTCTTTACCATTAGAGAATCAATTCTTCCAAAAGTAAATACTTTGCAATAAGCAAGACCTCTCTGCGACAACCAAAAGGATGTTGCTCTCTAGTGATGTTGCACTATATTTACTATCCAGTTTGGAGCAGTTTTGCTATCTGTACTTATAATTTCTGAAGATAAAACTGTATGAGTCATTTATGGGTATAAATTTGCAATGCAAGTTGAACTATATCTCTGAACTGAATATTCAAAAACATGTTCTATAATTACAGTACAACTACAGCTATTGGTTCATATCTTTGTATTATTATGATGTATTGTGGCAGCTCTATGTTTTCAACTTTGCTATTTCAGTAGGTAGTATAAGTATTTTCTTTTATCCATTTCAGAGTAATATTATATTCCAACTTGTGATTTTACCAAAACAGAATGATCATACATGTTTAATACCAGAAGCAGATAATACAACTAATTCAAAACAACGATTACATCCACTATTCCAGGTAAGTAATAATCCTCAATTACACATTTCTTGTGTGTTTATTTTGCGGGACATTGATATTAAAGATAAAACAATTGTACCTACTGACAGGACAGCTCTATGATGTGATAACTCAACAATTTTGCTTACTGAGGAGTGCAGGTCAATTTATTTCCAGGACATATAAAATGTACTTTTAAATAATTTTGCACATGACAAAGTACTTTAGGCTGCTTTCCCATGTACAAGAACATACTGTTAGTGATTGCTGTGAACAGACCAATGCTGGAACAGATTCTCTCAACATTGTCTGGTTAGGTAGATAGCCAGTAAATTGATGAGTGCCATCAGTTAACATGAGTGATACAAAATTTCATGGTTTTAGTATCATTTATCATTTGAAGATTTCATCTACATCTTTTTCCACCTTCTTCCAATCTCATTAAATCATATCCTAACTATCGCTCTACTACCCTTCGCTAGGTAGCCGAGGAGTAACAGGGCGAAAACGGTGATCTGATTTTAATAAGATTGACCTTCTTAAAGGACCTAAATTACAATAGCAAGGTAACAGGAAACAATGATTGAATCAATGAAGCTGTAAACCTATGCTACAAAAAATAATATAAAGTATAAAAAAAATGCAAAGCAAAATTTAGTTCATGTCAATTGATAAACGTTAGCCTGCTGGTGGCCATGCAACAGAACAGAAAATGATCAGCCAGCATATCAATTATCCATGCCGTCTGTGGTCTGTGCTGTTTTGCTACTCAGTTCGTACATTTCTTGAAATTTCCCTTAAAAGACTAATGGTTTTGCCCAGATTTAAAGACGGATAAGCCCATATTTAGTGGGGTAAGGGTCAATTTCAAAAATATTGAAATGAAATGTCTCAAAGTTGATTATTGGTGAGGTAGACAATACTGAAGATTTAACACCATTCAGATATTTTTAAGGGTTTGACTTTGGTATTTTACATTGAATGGTTAACTTTTAATGATAAATTTGAGGTCTTGTGTATTTGAGTTCTAAAAAACATAGAAATGAAACCAGTAATTGTAATTTATTTTAATAACTTTCATTTGATTTTCTTGATAACTTTTGATGTTGTTATTCTCTTTTTAGTGTTTTAGACCAAAGTTGAAAGATTTACAGACCATATACAGACATACACAAGAAAAATTGATCCTGCCAAGTCATGTACACAGCTTAGATAACAGATAAGAAAATCAAAAAAATATTAATCAAAATGTATACCTTTATGTTGTTTTTTGTGATATTTCATTTTTATATATTTTTACAAGGTATCTCAACAGAAACAACATTATTATGTGTTAAAATACAATATTTATTATATATATTTTAAAATACCATATTTATTACATTGTATATGTATATTTTTTTCTATACCTCATATGATTTGTTTTAGTTACCTCCTTTGCTCAGACAGTTTAGGGAACCCATTAACAATTGATTAAATTAACAATTTAACATCCAAAGCATTTACAAAGGATAAGATTTTTATTTTAATGTAATTACTATGAAATTAGAATAACTACATGTAGTTATACTCCTGTTTTCAATCCAAAATCAAAATATATTTTTAGAAGTTAGTTTTGCAGTTCAAAACTACCCTGCATACTAGACATGTTTCAATGTTTTAAAAGATATTCTGATATTTTGTTGCAGGTTAAAGTTGCATTTTTGTAGAATATAGCATTTTTTATTTTATTGCTCAAATTGATAGAAGTGTAGTTTTCGAGTAAATGTACAAGATTTGCTTCTGTGATTTTTTGGTTCTTTAAACATTATTGTGAAACAAATTTTTCAACTTTTGACACTTCCTGGAACTAACCAATACTGGTTATAAATTTAAAGTTTTGGTATTTTCCAGAAGAGCTCAAACCTACAATCCCAGGTTTAGAAGGGAGACATTTTAACAATAAGGTCACATTCATTTTATTATGTGAACTAACTTGTTAAAAGATGCTTTTATTATTAATTTGATGTAAAGATTCTCCAAATTGGTATCATTATTTCTTGCTTTTGTTTATGATGGCATTTTAAATTACAATGTAATATCATGTAGAGACTGGCAACTTTTAAGATTTTTTACCAATTTGTAGAAACAATATATATATATAACAATATCACTTTCAGACAACTTACGTCTTTTCTGCATAAGTTTCTGGAGATAAATGTATATTACAAATATATTGCAAGACTATGTTTTCTAAAATTCGCACGGTGCTTTTGTTATGTGAACTGTTTTAGCAACCAGTGTAAGATTGTTGTAACATATTACTAACTCTTTGAAAAATCTCTTGTTAGCAAAATATTGAATCTCAGGCACAGAATCTTGACATACTCCAAATAACCAAATATTAAATAAGCCAGTTTCTGCAATTCTAATGCAAATGGAGAATTCTTGCTGCAGTCTTGCCATCTAGTCATCATGTTCAGATAGGTGCTGTAATAAGTGCTTTTTCACAATCTTCAAAATCGCTGCCAATATTCTGATATGTTCTGTGTTTTTGCCTCACACTTTTAGAATTGGTCGATTCAGAATAGTTAAAGATTTAATATGCCAGTTTTAACTTGTCTGTTTTTCATGATACAGGTAAAATGTCAGTCTGTAGATGCTAAAGAGGAAATACTTGTATAATTTGTATTTCATTCAAGTTGTTTTGTGTAATATAAAGTATGTCATTTCTTACATCATTTTTTGGATGTGTTTAAAAGTAAACATTGTATAAGGAGTCCAATTATTTCAGTTGTGTGAGTTTTAAGTCTTTGAATCCAAAGTTTGACTCTAGACTAAACTGATAATTTTACAATAACAAAGCTCACATACGTAAAATAAAGCGTATACTACCATGCCTTAGCAGAGCTTGTTTTTAGTATTTTGTTTTAACTTTGGTCAGAATCAATATTATAGTTAAGGAGATATTGTTTGAAGAAATTATGGATACAACAGACACATGAACCACTACAAAAGCTTGCCACTGACCACTTTGTGCCAAGATGAGCTAAACATATATTACACTATGATTCCAAAGAAAGTCCTGTGACCATAATAAATAAATATCTGTGTTGTAAATTTCTGTTATGTAATGCAATAAATTGCAACATATTCGACTTTTGTTGAATGCATATTATGACTAGCTTGCCATTATTATTTATATAATTTAATTAATTTTTAATTTTTTCTATGTGATGAAATCCACCAATTATTTAAGCTAATGTATATGTGTTTTATATGTTGTTATAAAAACAACACATGCATACTAATAAGTTATGTCACAATTGCAATTTCTGGACCTATCTCAGGCCTTTTTTATGAACTTATAGTATCTTGATGGAAAAGCACCTTTACTAACTTCCCACATTGTTTATAATGAATCTTAATATATCTGTTTGACTTATTTATATAGAATCTTAATACCTGTATATCTTTTTGTACTGTTTTGTTTATGCATGGAAGGATTAAATTGTTATACATTTTAGATTTTATTGTTATTTTGCTTTTACTTATTTAGTTAAAAACAACTAAGCCCTTTTACAAATCACCTTTGTTTGTTCATAAATATTAGAAATTTATAGGAACAAAATATCCCAGAAGCATAAAAACTTTAGATCAAGGCCATCATGAAACGATCCCCTCCTGTGACTGGCTGAAATTATGTAAACTGAAAATAGAAACTTAAGTGACATGACCTTTTGTATAGGCCATAGAATTCATGAAATGTCTGTAAATATGGTTACCATGCAGGAAAACATATTCAGTAAGTTCTGAACAAGGAAACACTTCATAAAAGGTGTTGATACAGTATGTAACTTGGCAGTAAATTCAACAAGTCTACTGTGTGTCAATGAAAAATAACTAATTGTTTAGGAAGAGAAGATAACTCTTAGAAAAATAATTTGACCCAGTTATATAACCTGACAATGTTGTGTCCAGTTGTACTTCAGTGGAAGAGTGTAAAGTGCAGGAACCTTCTTTCAAAGTGCAGTAAAGGGAGATTTAGTTTGAACCACATTAACATGTGGTCTTGCTTTTATATTGGTAAATAATTTGTACTGTATGCAGCTAATAGTTTTAGTTCAGCATCAATTCATTATAGTTGAACATTGGCTTTACCAACTTACAATACAAGTTAACCATTCCTTTGAGGAGATAACTTGGAGAAATGGATCCCACAGTTATGCCACATGCCATGGTGTTGCCTAGTATGTGTATACTATAGTATAAAGCCATTGGTACAAAAAAACTTATATATCAATTTTGAAGAATATGTTAACCAGTACATAAAGGGAAAAAACTGCATGCTTCAGTTATGTATCTTGCTAGGATCCAGCCTTTCAGGTAAAGTATAATGTCAAACAACATCAGATCTTTTGGTCTGTCTTTTAACCCTTTATGTAGACAAATATAGACGGGTGGAAAGTTACTGCCAGGTTTCCTTTCTGTGTTTTGTGGGCCATAAGTATATCTTGAAGCACATGATTGTATTGACACATTATTGTGTACTATAAACCCACTGGAAAATGGGGAACTAAAGATAAATCCATCTTGCTGGAATATGGTATTAGTTCAGTCTACAGTGTATCTGGACAGATTATTAAATTACTGCAATTATATCACTGGCATATAAAAACAATTTAAAAGGAAAGTTTATCAAATTTTGGATGCTGAATGATGTCTCAACAAAATGTTTTAGATTATGATCTATAAGACAACTTAATTTTGTCACTTTGAAAAGTAAAAGGTATGAATAGACTATAGTTACTATAGTTCGAGGTGTTAGTCTATTCATACCTTTTAATTTTCAAAGTGACAAAATGAAGTAGTGTTATAGATCATAATCTAAAACATTTTGTTGTCAATGTTTACACTACTATTTGTGTTATAATGGTATATGTTTGTAGGATTGTTGTACAACAAGTTACATATCATTAAAATATGTCAAATTATTACCTTTTAATAAATTATAGAGTAAAAATTTGTTTGGCTATTTCATGCTACTCAATATTTAAATCATAGTCACTGATAATCACTTTAGGTATCTAATATGTTTCTTATCTTTCAAGTTTGATCATCATTAATAAATAATTTATTGACTAAAACTATCAAGTCACACTGATCAAGCTATTTGCACTGGACATTTATATTATCTATATACACATCTGAGACAGTTATGAATTTAATTATGTTAGTGAAATTCAACAGTATTGCAAATGTCCTACATTCATATACTTACAAGATTATATGGTCATTTATAAACAGTTTTGTTATAACGCATAATACAAATGTACCTAAGCCACTACATAAGCTTGTAAATGTTAAAACATGGCCGTATTACATTTCAAAGATTCAATCATCCAGATTGCTGGTGCTTCAAGATGTACTCATGGTCCACATAAAACACACATGAAAGGGTACCTTGCAGTAACTTCCCACCAAAGTCGATAATTGTCTTAACTTAAATCATTTATAAAGGGTTAAAAGTTGTAGACCAAAAGATCTGAAGGTGTTTGACACATTTCACTTAGCACAAGTTTAACACTTGAAGTAAACAATTTATCTTCAGAAAATTGTAAAGTTTTTTTTATTATAATAATTCATGGTAGTTTAACATCTAGAACACTTTAAGCCTCACCCTGCTGGACCAGAGAGAGATAAGCCTTTGCAACCAGCAATAAAGCCAGGTCAGTCTGTACATCACAACAGTAAGCTGTCCGGTTAGCTCAATTGGTAAACCTTTGGACTGTTAATCGGGTGACCCGTGTGCGATTCCCAGACGGCCCAGGTCACTTTCGTTGCAACTGATCATGAAATCTTTTCCTATGGTCATTCGCACTGTACCTCTGCTCTGGTATGTACAGAAGTTTCAGTTCCTTGCAAAAGTGAAGGTAGACTGCTTGACAGCCTGCCAAGGAACAATACGGTGGCTGAACTGTGCTCTTGTGAATTCAGTGTGGCTTACTGTCGTGATATGGAGTGAAAACTACAAACACCACTATCACAACAGTCCAATTAGGCTCTTTATTGTTGAGTGACTAACTTCAAGTTTTCATGTTGATATCCTTATTAATTGCTTGACAAATACATTTGACAAATTCAGCTGGTTAAGGGTCAATATGAAGTATGATACGACCAAGTGATATATCCTGAATTAATGATCAAAATCATCAATGTGTCCCTTGTGAGTTGATTTTTATAAATACAGGTGTTAATTATAATATACAACAAAACAAGAAATATTTGCCAAGAAATTGTATTTTTCTCTCAATTTAGACAGACAGGAAAAAAGTAGAAAGTATAAATGTTCAGAGACAAGAAGCATAATCCCTGCACTTATATTTACATATAATTCACTTGAACACAGTTACTTTAAATGGTCACAGAAAGCTAAAAATTTCCAAAATAAAAGTATGTACAATAAATCAAAGGCAGGCAAAATATACCAACTGCAATGTCCCGAGAAAATAAGAATTCACGTATCTGAGATATTATTATTTTTCAAAATCATCTTTGTGATGCCATACACAGCAACAATATGAAATGGTTTATAAAATTATGTACAGAACTGTTCATGTGACATGATAGCATGAAGATGCCAGCTCAAATGTTTTTTTATAAATATGAAAATATTGTTATGACTGTAAAGAATGTATATGATTTCTGTAAGTTTATAAGAAGTCAACATCTTCTGGAGCATCTAGATCTCTATATTCTATAATCCTCCTCGGGTCAGAACCTCGACTGAAATTAAACAAACAGTAGTTTTTACTCTTAGTTTAAATAAAAAGGCAAGCTTGAAAAATCTATGGTAAATGCATATTATTAAATAACAAGTAATTTCGTTTAAAAATTAGAAGCAGTCTGTTCATATGAAAAAGCAGGGTGAGCGAACAATCTGAAATTATACACACAACTAACTGGTCCAGATCTACATCAAATGGAACATCAATCTTAAAATAAAATTTCTATTCCCTTCATGTAAAAAAACAACCCTTCAAGTAAGCCCCTTTAAGTTTAGCCCTACCTGAATGGTCGGGAATATGAATTTTGTCTTCTTGGCTCTTCCCTCTCTCTGTTATTGTTATGTTGTTCTCTTGGTTCCCGGCGTGAATATGGCTGCTGTTGCTGGTGATACGGATTTCCTGTACAATCAAAATAAACATTTTAACAAAAACTCTTTATCAGTAAAATGAGTTGTAAGTTATGGTAATTTTCTCTTATAAAGTTTACATCTCTATATAAGAAATAGAAGAGTAAACAGACATTACATAACCAGTTTAAATATATCTGAATGCAGCGAACTAATTACTTTATATAATACTCTAAACAAGACCAGGATAACTTACCACCATACCCTCCTCTCATCATGTGTGGTCCACCACCACCTCTATGTGAGTTATATCCCATGTGAGGGGGACCATATCCTCCAGGGTTTGGATACTGCTGACCCTGAGGTCCTGGTGGAGGACCCCCAGCTGTCTTGTTACCAGGGTGTTCAGGTAGTGAAGGCCGTTTGGGATCCATGAGATAGTTGTTAAAGAAGGAAACCTAAAAGATATACTAAGTATATATTTATGTTAGATACTTTTCCAAAAATTTTAAACTCCTGCAAACAATCAAAAGTAAAGGACAATGTTTTTTCCAATATTTTCAGACATAATGTTGATAAGTTTAAATGCTATTTCCATCCAGAGTATTATTAACTATTGATTTAAAACACTCCACAGACAAAGTCAAATAAAGAAAATCATCTCATTTTTATTAAATATTTTTATCGATTACACTGCTAAATTTGTCAAATATATTTCAAAATGAAACCTGGTTATGTTATTTTAAGAAATTCAACAAGTTAAGGGTGAAACTAACACATATCAATCCTACATTAAAAGCAGGGAAAGTTCAATGTACTTAATTAACAAGGTAAACATTAAACAGTTGTTTACATTTAATTTAACAGAACCAACCTCTTGTTTTACTTCCTCCACTTTCTCCCCATGTTTATTGAAGATATGTTTTCTGACAAACTCTGGGCCCTTGAACTTCTTCCCAGACAATGGACATAACCATTTGTCCTTCGCTAACTCCTGTGTATTAGCCGTCACAAATTTCTCCACTTCAGTACAGTATGTTAAGGAGAAATGCAAAACACTCCTGATATAAGTACATATTTATAATAGGGATGGCAAAGAGTAACCGGTTAACTGAGTACTGGATCGAACGTCCAAATATTGGTTAACAAAACTGATATTTGATTACTTATAAAAAATATATCATTTCTAATTTTTTTTTGTGATTTAGAAAGATTAGTGTATCAAGCTTTACATCAGATACACATTGGTTCATTATTTCAGGAAACAGGATAGAACCACTGATACTCCAAGAGAGCTCCTTACATGAAAGAATTCAAAATCCCTTGCAGATTTCAAACCAATATGAATAAGCATAAACGCCAATTTAAGTGAATTATTTGAACCACATGGTTATGAGGACATCTTAAATATTCTATACTAAACTGACAGCACTATTTTTAGACAACATTGCCTTTAACACAGCTTTAACCTGGTTATTCTAAAAACATTTTATTATGAAAGGATATGCCTCTGGATCTTTTTTGCCCATTTTCTTTGCTTGTTCCTCATCTAACTTGTCTTGTAATTCAACAAACGGTTTCACCTTGGTCTCATAGTTCTTTATCCAGTCATCCACTGTGTAATATATCAAATAAAACTGTAATTACTAATAATTATAATTTCTGTAATATATCAGTCTCATTAATCCTGTAATAACAATGAACAGACAATAATTATTACACCCATTTATTATATAAAAGTCTTATCATCCATATTTATTCAGTTTTGCAATGTTTCAACTTACAACAGTCATTGTAATATATTGTTTGAGCATCAATAATGGTGATATCAAGATATTAAACTCTATAAAATGCTGAGTACCTTATCACTTAATCAACATCTGTAATAATACCATAACAAGATACATTTGCACTTTACACAAAAAAATTAATTCATCTTTTCCAATACTAAGAATAAATGACTTACGATCTTTCTTTGTAGTTTTGGTGCTGGGTGGAGCACCTCTAGCATGCATGATACCACACCTGTGTGGCATCTCATCCTCATTAGGGTACTCATTAGCACTGTAGTAGTCAATGGAATGTACGATCCTCAAATACAAGATCATTGTATCCAATACCTGAAATATATACCTTTTACTGTATTGCAAAACTCTCATACATATGTAATAATCTACAGATAACCAATACATATTTAGAGTTATTAAATCGTCTAATCATTTCTGCATTGTGTATCACCTCATTTTATTTATCATCTTTTTAAAAGCTTTAAGAATCACTTTGCCACATATTGCCAAATCTATACATGTATATCTGCTCAAACCATGAACAAAAACATACCTTAAGGAGTGTTTCATCTCGATCTATCTGAATTTCTGGTTCTGTTTCTGCCTCACCTTCTTCAGCAGACATACCTACAATTATAGTTAAACGATCAACATTCCATTCTATACAAACTGACACTTACTATTAGTTTACAATTATGTATTATGAAACTATTATTAATGGGTAAATAAAAAACTTTTTTTATCTAGAAAATACAAAAAAAAAAAAGAGTTCTTAAAATAAATGACTCACAGAATCTTTTAAACAGTTGGTTATAAAGTTACATAATTCCTATGCGTTTGCCTGTTAGGTATTGATATATTTACAATTTGTTCTTATCCTCTACTAAAATACATGTTTCATAACTTGCACAATTTGCTGGTTTTGTTTTTATAGACAATGTTTAAAGCTGCCTGTATTATAATCAACAGTACGGTTGAACAATGTCAATATCGTGTAACGCCAAAGTTACATTTCATAATCAATCATAATATGTACCTAATAATTCCTCTTCTTCAAAGCTACCTTCATCCACTAGGTAATCTGTGATGTTTTTCAGAACAGGGTTCTTCACTGTCAGGGAAAACTGAAAATAAATGGTTCACTACTTGAAATAACACATATATTTATGTCATTTAACAAGAGGTTCATTATGGTCACTGGAGTTTGTAGATTTGCAAAGTTTTCACTATAAAACAAAGCAAATCAGAAATTTACCACAAACAATGTAAAATCTTACAAATTAGCTCTTAAAATTCTAATCTTTCAAAAAAGAAAAAAAAAACTTTACAAAAAGGATAAAATAAATAATGAATTTTAACAGACCTCTTTCTCGCAGTCTTTCTTCTCCGACTCGGGATCATCCCAGATTCTCCATTTGTCATCAAAGTTCTGGATTATTTTAGCAGCTAGTTTAATATCTTGCTTGACAACATTTTTATGAGCTGTGATCCCACTCACTGGCCGCACTCTCTGCTTCAACTCTCGATTCAAAGTTGCACCTAAATCACAGTCTCTTAACTAAAAAGGAATAAAATATTTGATATAGTTTTGACAGTTGGCCGATACCAAAAATTGAAATCACACTTTTGCAAAACATCTGACAGACTTTATTACACAAATTAACTTAGTACATGTCCTTCTATTTTTTTAAAAACTTAAAACAACAAGCAATTATCATAGTATTGCAAGCAATCCATAAGTCCCCTACCGGTTAGAACCCCAGCAGCATTCTGAAGGGTCATTGTCCATTCACTAATGTTTCTATTTTAAGTAAATTTGTTGAAAAAGTTCTTTAAAAGTGATCACAGGAAACAGTTTTTATGTACAGACAGACGGACTGAAGGACACTCTAAAGAGATTTTTTTAAACATCCCTGTTATCAAAATATAACATTTTGAAAAGCAAAATTCTTAAAAAGGAGATAACTCTTGAAATAAAGATGCAAGACGTCATACATGATGCGAGTGTAACAAAGAACAATTAGTAATGAAGGAATTGATAATGAATGTTTATTTTGAATTTGAAGTAAAAGAAAGTTAAAGGAACGAATAAGAAAAATTCAAAGTTTAAGGAGGAGATAATTCTGGAAATATGGATGCTAGATTTATACACATTGTCATATTATTATGATGTGGGAGTTTTAAGAAAATTTTATAATGATTGAAGCAGTTGGAGTAAATTACCAATTTCTCGAAAAAAGTCTAAGTTAAACAGGGGCATAATTCTGGAAATAGTCTTGCTAGAGTATTGAACTTTCTCACAAATGTTGAGTGATAATAAGAAACAAGAAAGAAGTCTGAAGTAGATACATTCAGAAAAAAAGAAGTTATCAAAAAAAAAAAATATATATATTTTTTTCATGAAAATTTTAAGTTCAAGGGAGGAAATTCTGATAAATTTTGTGCTAGAGTTGTAAACCTTGTCACATATGATGTGGTTGATGAAAAGAAACTTCTATTTAAAGTTTGAAGAAAATACCTTAAGAAATAAAGAACTTATAGTGAAACAAGATTGCATTTGTAAAAAATGCTATGCCACCGGCATGGTCTTAATTGTGGGGTGGTCTTAACTGTGAACATTCTTATCATTGCTTACATACTTTATGACAATGGTCTGTTTTAGTCATTTTGTTTGAAAAAAAAAACAACAGTATGTATCTTAAGCTACAAGCCCAATATAAAAGACACTATAAATGTATGTTTTGATATCTGATGAAAGGAAAACATATAATGATATTTCTGAAAAAAAATTAACTTGAAATTCTCTTTGGTCAGATTTCAATATCAATTATTATATGATGTAAATAATCACCTATCAAATAAAAATTAATTCTTCACAAAAAATAAATTTGCTAGAAGCAACATTAAACCACTCTAAAATTTACCTTCTCACCTTATTTCATACAATAACCCAATAATAACAGTTTTTCACACCTTGTGAAATCAAGTGTCATGCAAAGCATTCAATCAGATAATAACAACAAATTTAAGATCTAGATATGTGTTGATTTTAATATCAGTGGTCTCAATAGTGGAGTTAAATTAAGAATAAAGCAAAGAAGTTGGACTGAATTAGGTAGTCTTAAAAGTGGATAAGCGTTTATTCTTAATTCTAGATCATGTAACAATTGACACAAAGAACCTTGTAAAAAATAGTCTTATTAAGGGGGTGGTCTATATTCAGGTATGGTCATTAGTAGGGATTCTACTTTACATTGAATGTAATCAATTATCAATCAATTACTCTCTTAGAGTAATTGTAATTCAATTGATTACAGAGGTAAGTCTGAGTAATCAATAGTAATCAATTACAATAAAATCAGAAAGTAATTGTAATTAAATCAATTACTGATCAATGTAATCATCCCCAGGTCTGCCCACCGCATAAATACAACACTAAAATAGTAATGTAGGAACAAATTTTTTTGTTTTGACCCCAGGGCTTTAATTTGAATAATCTTGCTAAAGGTTCACTACACAATGTTTACTGTAAAATGTCTCACCTCTAGCCTTTGTCAATTCGAGAAGATGATTTTTTAAAGTTTTTACTATATACATGTAAGGAAAACCTATGACCCCGGGCAGGGCTAGTTTTGACACTAGAGGCAAAATTTGAACAACTTTGGTAGAGTACCTATAGATGATATCATATACTAAATATCAAAGCTCTAAGCCTTGTACCTTCAGACAATAAGATTTTTTAATGTTTTACTATATGTACATAGTGCAAATCAATGACCCCCGGGGGTGGGTCCAATTTTGACCCCAGGGCTATAATTTGTTCAATCTTGCTAGAGGTTCACTACACAATGTTTCATGCAAAATATCTAACCTCTAGCCTTTGTCAATTTAGAGAAGATGATTTTTTAAGTTTTAACTATATACATATGAGGAAAACCTATGACCCCCGGGGCAGGGCTAATTTTGACACTAGAGGCAAAATTTGAACAACTTTGGTAGAGTACCTATAGATAATAACACGTACCAAATATCAAACCTCTAAGCCTGGTACCTTCAGACAAGAAGGTATTTTAAGTTTTTAATATATGTACATATAGTGAAAATCAATGACCCCGGGGCGGGGCCGATTTGGACCCCAGGGCTATAATTTGAACAACCTTGGTAGAGGTCTACCAGACAAAGCCTTATGCAAAATATCTAAGCTCTAGGCCTTTTGGGTCTTTACAAGAAGATTTTTTAAATTTATTCTTATAATTCCTTTTGGTTGCCATGGCAACCAGAATTCTGCATGGAATGAAATTCTTTGAACAACTTTGGAAGGCCTTCACCCAAGGAACAATCCTGCCAAGTTTGGTTGAAATTGGACAAGTGGTTTTTCACAAGAAGATTTTTTAAGTTCACTATATAATCTATATAACACACACACACACACAAACAAACACACACACAGGTGAATCGCTATATGCCACCGCATCGCAGATGCTGCGGTGGCATAAAAACTTAAAAACTAGGATCAGAAATCTTGAAATTCAGTCTATTTGTTGCCATAGCAACCAGAATTTTCAACATAGGAAGAAAAGAAAAAGACTTGCATAATCTCCATACTGCCATCTATCCATATATCAAGTTTCATAAAAATATTTTCAGTACTTTTTGCGTAATCGAGGGATCCAGTTTTGTGGACGGACGGACTGACGCACAGACGGACGGACAGACGGAGGGTAAACCTAAAGTCCCCTCCGGTAAACCAGTGGGGGACTAAAAAAGTGGTTCTGAAGCGCCAAAATAATCAAAGTCAAGGTGCATAACAATAATATTTTTTCTAAGCCAAGCTAAGCTAACAAACAACTTTACAAGGTTCATGAAAATTAATACTTTACCCGGATGTTATTTAAGTTCCAGCATATTTCTTTAATGTTAACATTTTTATCAAATGTGACCCAGCCTCGTCTCAGAAATCTTCTTTCTGGTTGAGGATCTTGTAAAGCAACTCGGATAAAACCTGGATATCTTTTACATACCTGTAATAAAATTGCATGGAACATATCAACTGAATTTAAAACAACTAAAAATCTAGATATTATCACTGAGGTGGGGTAAACGTCCCAACAGATACAGAGACTTTGAGGAAAATGGGGTGTTTTGTTACCTCATAGGGTACTCCTGATCAAAAGTTACATGAATAGCTTTGTAACATGAGATAATTCAACATGTCCTACAGAGTTCATACAAACACAGCTTGAAAAGGGCAAGTGAGTAGAAATCAGTAACTATATCACCTTACCCTATCTCAACCAATTCAATTCAAGCAAAACTCAGCCGTAAGAAAATTGGATGATACAACAGAATTAGTTTGACCAAGAAGAAATGTATTTAAATGATTAAATCTTGCAATGACAGTACAACAAGAATATATAAATTAAAATATACAACTCATACATTTCATAAAGAAGATAGTACTTACAGCTTCCACCTCTTGTTTAGTTATAGATGGTGCAAGATTTCTAAGAAATATTGAGCAAGTTTTATGTAACATTCTCCTCCTATGTTCTCTAGGTGGTGATTCATGTTCTCTATCTTCATCCTTCTTTCTCTCCTTAGTATCTTCATCCTTCTCTTCATCTACAATCAGTATTCAGATGCCTCGTAACAGACTTTCACATTTTCATGTCATGTAAATTAGCCTTAAGCTAACCAAAGTTTTCTTAACATACTTGTTTACTTATTTTGTGAAAATTCCATTTAGAATAAAGACATTAAGAAAAAATTATTTGCTTATTTCATAACAAAGCAAGTTTTGCACGTTTAACTACATTTCAAGAGACTAAGCAATCAACAAAGCTTTTAATATTGACAAAAATCTTCTTGTTCAATGATAATAAATGAATGTGTAAACATTATTTGTCAGTCAGTTTCATCTTTACTCATTTGAAATATTTTCTAGGGAATGGTGGTAGTTATTAAGTCATTGTTCAAATCTACTGTTATATAATGAAGGTGAATGTATCCCAATTGTGTTTTATTCTTATCTCAAGCAGATCATTTATTATTATCTTGGGCAGATCTTCAACCCTTACTTATATAAAACTCACATTTAATGAAAATAAACAATACAACTTACCGTCTTTCTTTTTAGCTTCCTCTTTTTTGGCAGATTTCTCCTCATCAATGCCTGGAGGTGGTGGCTCATCCTCCATACCTGAAATAACAATTAACCAATGTTTCCTTTATTCTCAGAGGCTGTTAAGTCACGGAAGTGCAAACCTGTGTTTTATAATGTTGCAATAATGGATTTAGAACATGTAAGATGCTAACCACTTAAAGAAAACAGAATTGAATGTGAAACAATTCTCATAAAGGAAGCAAAATATAACCAAAGAGGTATTTTGACTTCCATACAATATCACTATAATTGTACTTACTGTCCAAAAAATAAAGGAAGATTACTCAGCTGTATGGCAAATTAGTGACATTTTTGGAACTTTAACCGGACACCAAAAATTAGCTTTTGACAAATAAAAATACATGCATTTTCGCGACTTAATAGGCTTTTAAATACCAGACGAGTATGTAGATCCAAGAGTTATTAGGCTGACTACATATTAGGCAATTCTACAAATTTAATACTTCATCTTGTCAGGACTAATACAATATAAACAGAAGCTATCAACTGAGACATATGCTTCCATAACTACACATCAAAGGTATCTAGAAAAAAAAAAGCAACTTATTAAAAACTTTCCTATGACTTTTCTATGTTTTATCAATGCTATACTGTTCAAACCTTCTATCATAATAGGGTTTGATACCTTAAACATACGGAACAGTAGTAAACATCATAAAACTAATAAGATTCAATCACTTGTTTAAAAACTTCGACATTTACAGCGATACAGGCTATTTACTCTACATTCCTAGATAAAACATAGCTACATAGCTAACCTGGAGGTGCAGGCTCTGGTTCACTGTCGGAACTACTTCCAGAACTACTTTCTGACTCTGAACCACTCTCGTAACTATACTCCTGTTTGTCTCTATGACGTTTCTTCTTCTTTGGTTTTTGTTCTTCTTTAGGCTACAAATAAATTACTTGTATTAAATTCTTTCTAAAATCATGACCATACAAAACACAAAAATTTAAACATACAAAAAACTCAATGAATGTAAATGGAATTAAAGTGACATTATGCCCTTCCAAAGATATGTAGTGAATAAACAAGTGAATCAAAACAAGTTTACATTAATTCCTTTCAATTTTATAATTTATTTTGCATGAACGATTACTCACATGGATATTTGGTGATGACAATGATGACAATAAATAAAACAGCATATTGTCACTTTAACTTTAATCTATTCAGTCATGACATAATTCTAGATACTTATAAACAATTTAACATACCTGCATTATGTTGCATCAAATTAATAAGAGTTTTTGTTACAACAGCTTTTAAGATGTTACATTCTGACAAAAAATACAATATATGTGGCATATATATTAAACAGAATATATTTTATCACATTATTGTCTATATAACATTATACAAACCTCCTCTTCATCTCCATTTTGAGCCTCTTGTTGTTTCTTCGAAAATTCCTGTGCTTTCTTTGCCAGCTCCTTTTGTTCAGCACTGATTGTAATTTCTAATGGTTTCTGCAATATAGTTTTGTGATAATATAAATATGCCAGCCAGCCTTGTTTGATACATTTACTTTTCAACAAAAAGATGAAATGGTGAATTTACTGAATTTTCAAAGAAAGAGAAGCTGATGTCCATGTCAGATAAACTTTACTGTGACAAAGACACACATTTATTTATGAAAAATTCAACATCTCTGAAATAATCTTAAAATCAAGAACTTAAATCACTAATCAAAGAGCATCACATTACTAGACTAGAGTTTTATCATATTGTACAGAAACTAGTTCAAGTCAACTCTCTACATAATGAATTTAATTAGGCTATAACAACAACTTACATCTGGTGCAGCATCTTTGTCATCTTTTGATGATTCAGTCTTTTTCTTCTCAGGGGATGACCTATAATACAACAATTATCATATAGAAGTCAAACACTTGTAAACGGTACTTTAGTTAAATACCAATAAAAATGTACATGAGTATTTTCTGAGATTGACTTTGAAAATCCAAAATGATATCAGAGACATCATGAAAGTGGCATGCCCCATAGAAATAAATAAAAAGTTTTGAACTTTCTTCAAATCAACTTACTTTAAAGCTAATGGTGGCCTAGTGGTGCGTAAATTTAATAGCAATGTTAACCCATCACTTCATGAGCATTTTGTGAAAAATGGCTGTTTTCATTGAAAAGTCTCCCGTTACAAGTTCAAATTGCTATAATACTATAAAAACTGCTTCAACACTAATCAAACTTGGCACAAATGTTGACTGGACCATTGTCCTTGCCACAACATGCTCAGGCTTAAATTTTTCTGTTACCATGGCAACTAGGGGTCATCTCAAAATTGCCAAAAATCACTATTTTGCGTTGATTTTTTCCATCATAATTGATTTCAAAGTGCTGCAACTTCTCAATGGATTGAGATAGAGTCAAATGCTTTTCATCGTTGGTTACACGTTACCTTATGATCAATCTGGGGTCATTTATAGCCTCTCACAAGTCCAAAATTTTCTTGGCGATGAGGGGGACTCTGCCCCCCTTCAAACCCCCCAAACAGAAGGGGGCACATCCCCCTTCTGGCAACCCCCTGATGTATCTTTTGCTTGGGGGGCCGCGCCGAAAAACTGGTCACTTTTTTTAACAACATTTCTCAAACAAAAACAAGTGTTAAGGGCCTAAATAATGCATTTTTTCACCATTTGAGACAACAAAAAGGGGGGGGGGGTGAAAAAGGCGTTAAAAGGCGTGTATATGAAGTAATGGGTTAACTAAGACAACAAAAGTTATAACTATAAATTGAAAGAACTTGTTTCCCAATAAATTTTAAATTGTTAAACTAACTAAAAAGGAGTTACAGTGTAAAGAAAACATATATTCAATTACGATACTCACATAACTTTATAACTTTAACCATCCATACATTAATATCTGATGCAGATGAAATGAATCAGTACAAGAATATAACCAACAAGAAACTTACATTTTGTCAACACTTTCTGAATTATTGCGACTCCTGCTTGCATCCATTTCTTCATCTGACTCTTCAAGAACTTTCATATCTTCTTCATTACCACCTTCCATCAGTATGACAGCTGTAATATACAACATTCTTATCTCTATAGAAACCAATTTACCCAACTCTTACCACCTACCTTAAATAGACAAGTTACATGTCCATCAGTATGACAGCTGTAATATACAACATTCTCATCTCTATAAAACCAATTTACCCAACTCTTACCACCTATCTTAAATAGACAAGTCACATGTCCATCAGTATGACAGCTGTAACATACAACATTCTTATCTCTATAGAAACCAATTTACCCAACTCTTACCACCTATCTTAAATAGACAAGTCACATGTCCATCAGTATGACAGCTGTAACATACAACATTCTTATCTCTATAGAAACCAATTTACCCAACTCTTACCACCTATCTTAAATAGACAAGTCACATGTCCATCAGTATGACAGCTGTAACATACAACATTCTTATCTCTATAGAAACCAATTTACCCAACTCTTACCACCTATCTTAAATAGACAAGTCACATGTCCATCAGTATAACAGCTGTAACATACAACATTCTTATCTCTATAGAACCAATTTACCCAACTCTTACCATCATATCTTAATCTTAAATAAATATGTCCATTTTATATTCTGGACAAAAACCATTCATTATTTTTAGGGAAAATTTCAAAACATGTACTGGCTGAATAGCAAATATTGCAGGCCATGGTCTGATGTACATACACTTGCTATGTTTCAATACTAAAATTCACTTTCAACATTTAGAATAATACATTAAAATTTATTAAATCATGATGAATGCTTTTTTCAACATATTTAAGCTTTACACAAAAACAAATTTATCAACATCTTCTTCTATATATGATTTATTTAGTACAATACACTGTGAACAAGAACAAATAAAATTTTCTGGCTTTCATAAGCTGTTTTGCTTCGGTACTTGGTATGAAATTTACATAAAAGAAGTGCCATATAGATGATCAGCTGTGTTATAAAATTGATACAGGGGATTATTCTACAGAATGCAAAGTAATTGTCAATTACAAACCTGCATCTAGAAGTTTCACAATGACATCATGGTACTCTGTATCGCATGTAACAGCATCCATGTAGCCCTTTTTCATCAATTCAAAAAATACGTCGCAGCGACGTTTCAATGCATGACGTACCTCATCTTGTCGTCTCTCAAACTCTTCAGGATGATATTTCGACTTGAACCTGAAGTAGCGCCAAATTAAACTTATTTAAAATCATTGCATTCAAATGAAAATCAATCAAGTTTTTAAACTGAACAGGTATTCTTTTAGTCTGTCATGACTTTGATCAGTTTTTATCCCCTCAAAAAATACAAGGAAACCCAAGACAACAGAAACCAGAATCTCATGTTACTTCTAATCCACTGCTTTTAATTTTCTTTATTTTGCTCACACTTTCCTCCTTAACAAACAAGTTTCTGTCTCTCCAGTTTCAGAAGCAAGTTTCAGTATGAATCAATATGTAAAAGGAATACAAAAATACAATTTCATCATCTCCAATTCGTACAAGGTAAAGAAGAAAAAAAAAGCTTGCAGAGAGACTTTTAAACAGTCTTCTTAACTATAGGATAAAAACACTTTAAAGCCACTCTCCCACACACAGGTGGTTTGAACATTTCTGCAACAGATATATTTAAACTGCATGTTCAAATATTTACACGAAACTAGATAAATACACATATTACTACCAGAAAAAAAAACCTGCTTATTTAAGTTTTGGCACATTCATTTTGCTAGAATTTTACAGTGTTCCAACCTTTTATTTTGTAAACATTGGTCTAGAATCAGAATTTTTCGAGTTAGTCTTTACATTTTATTTTAGACCATTATTTAGTTGTAAAACTAACACAGTGCAATGCAATAAATATAACCACATATACATTCTTCATTCGGATCAATTGTCTATTAGGTGTGCTAAAAGGAACCCTATATTTGTTTATTATTTGGTATAAACAACATTTTTCAGAAAACTTATATGACATTTGTATACACTGACAAATACTAGTGATAATTAGAAGTTTATATATTTTAACCTTGTGTGGGTCAGTAGCTTTAAAAGTAAACAAAACTTGTCCAAGAAAATATTTCAACATAAAACAACCTGAACCTGTTACCTGTTTCAACCATCGTAGATCTTATTCCACACTAATATGTCAGCTGAACGCGATTTTAATCTATTATAACCTAACATGAACCTAAACTTATATCTTGCATAAAACTGCATTGTGCGCAGTTTGCCTTAAATGACAACGCGAATAATTTCCTGGTCCGATGAGAGATAATCCAGATTAAGACGAAGATCTCCCATTCCTGTGTGGTCTCTAAAGGCGGAAAATAATTAAGTCATGTTAACAACAAATTCAGTCTATTTTGGCATTAAGACTTTCAATAAAATAGAAAATTTTTTTTTTACACTATTTGGATTGTATCTCCAACAAGACAGAATTTATTTTTTTTTCTAATACAGAAATCAAGTTTTTAAGAATAATTTACAAAAGATGTTGATAATAAAACATTGCCAAAATAGACTTTAAATTACATCAAAAGTAACTGAAAAACAATTGAAATAGTAAATGGACAATCATTTATCAAAATTATGCTGCTGTAAAGTTCTCTCTTTGATAGAGCATTACCATTTTACTCTATGACATCTTTAGAGAATTGTATGGCCATTTACTGGCAATTTATTCACAAAGATGTTGAAATGTGTCCATTCTGCTTCACTTCATTTACTAGTCATTTCCATAGTATTTTCAATAGGAAGAGACTTAGTTCTCTTGTATTTCAACAGTAAAAAACTGTAACTATTACAGCAGACATGTCATAATACTTCTGAATTCAATTTCAAAATTCTGTCCTGAATTTAATTTAATAAACCACTTCAAAAATCAGAAAGTATAATAAATAAATAGATCTGTACCATTCTTCATCTTTGTGTTGAAGGAAGAACTCATTAATTTGTTTAAGTCTAAACTCTTCCTTATATTCATTGTACTTCTTTACAGCATCTTGATCACTAATTGTGTCATCTTGCTGGCCCAGAAACATTTTAAATGACATCATTGGTGGCTGGGTAGGATAATCTGGATCAGGCCTGTAATGACATTATTAAATCAATGCATATAGACATTTCTAAATGAGAAGTTTCTCTTTCACAAAAAGCTAGAGAAGAAATGAGAAATATATACGAAATAGGCCAGTGGTGTCTGCTTATGATATCTTACTATTCTACTAGGTTTAAATTTGAATCAATTGCCACTCCACAAAAATAATCTTAGCCATTAACATCAAGTTTACCAATATTTTGGAAATATTCCAATCCAATATATATTTAAGGACAAATGAAATCTTCACTTTAATATATAACAATAGAAAACATAAAATTTTATTCTATGGGTTGTCATTCTCTCCCATATAATTATGTTTTCCACTTACATAGTCTGTCCTGGGCCGCCAAATCCTCCATCTTGAGGGGGTCCCATGTTAGGGCCTGGGCCCCAGTTTGGTGGTGGACCTCTACCATGCATCATACCACCTCCATAGTGTGGCATATCATAGTGCGGCATCTCATCCCTGTAATATACCCATACAGTTTTACTTAACTGTACCCATACAAAATCCCTTCTTATTTGTACTATGACTATGAGTTCACACTTATGATAAGTTCACACTCATTATACAGCAGAAATAAAGCAACAGAAGTGAACATTTTGACTTTGTTTCTATTTATGAAAATACTATACTCAAAGAACATTTAATCATGCAATTTTTAAATGTTTCAAAAACATTTATTGCACTTTCATTTCATGACAATTAGAGCATTTTTTCAGTTTATAGATTGCATGTTTAGATCTACAGTATGGTGTAATATTGCATTCGTCAATTAAGAGTAATCTTAGTGCCCCTGGTTCAGAAAAATTTGTTTCAGTTTTCTATTTTTTGTATTGACAAATTCTACACCATGTTATCCAACTGGATAAAATGCCAATTTTAGTGAGTCTATGGAATTTCCTGCAACATTTTCATTTTATGTGCACAAATGGCACAAAACCCTGTTTTCTGCAGGTAATGAGGTATCTGGTTTATGTATCATACACTTCAAATCTTTTTATGAAGGTATTTGCATATGACATTGTCTACATAACACTAAAACCATTCTGTATGTATTCCTTTTCTTTAATGAATACTTCACTCCTATATGATAAAATTTTAAAGGTGAAAAAAAAAATGTTTAACTATCTTGACCCTTAAAATGCTGTCGAATTTGTGCTCAGATCTGAATATGGAACAGTGGCAGGCCATTTCAAGTTTTAGGGAAATTCAACATCAAAATACAAAAATCAAACTACCAATAGCCCTGAGTCTAGTCAGACTGCACAGATATGCTACCGGCTAGACTCAATACTGATGACAATGGCTAATCACTTTTAGTTCAAGCAGATTAAGAGGTTAATTAAGCAAAGATCTATTTTATAAAAAAATGTTTTACCAATCTCTCCTCATGCGTTTATGTGGTGGACTGAACTCTCTGCGAGGTGGACTGCTATATCTCTCCCTGCGACCACGATCATATTCTCTACCATACATGTCACGTCTCCCTGCACTGTTTTCTCTACCTCTCCAACTACTGCGAGAATCATAGCGCTCAGATCCCCTGAAATAACAACAAGCAAATTCGTTGAATTTATATCCCCCGCCGAGTACTGGTTATTACTAACACAACAACTGAAGACATAAGGCTTTATTTATATATTTATCATGGCATAAACAGTAATATTCTTTGAACTTGATAAATATTCAGGGCAATAACAGAGCCATAACTCTGTATTAAATAGTAATATCTGGAAATGCCAATGAGATGTATGCATACTGCATAACTAATCAAGGGCCATAAATCTGAGTTATAAGTGTCTGACCGGAACAAGGCGACTATATTCACATCTCCTCTTTGTATCCCATAAAGTTTCATTGAATTCCAGCCAGTAGTTACAGAAAAGTAGCACGGAAACGATTATTGCTCTGGTTGTATACTGCATAAGGTATCAAGGGCCATAACTTTAAGTTAAAATGTCTGACCGGAACAAGGCAACGATATGCGCATCTCCTCTTGGTATTGAATATTCCAATAAAGTTTCATTGAATTCAAGCCAGTAGTTGCAGAGAAGTAGCACAGAAACGATTATTGCTCTGGTTGGATACTGCATTTATTAACTAATCAAGGGCCATAACTCAAAATTAAAGTGTCTGACCGGAACAAGCCGAGGATATGCACATTTTCTCTTGGTATTGAAGGTTCCAATAAAGTTTCATTGAATTCCTGCCAATAGTTGCAGGGAAGTTAGCGTGGAAACAATTTTTGCTCTATATGCATACTGCATAACTAATCAAGGGCCATTACTCTGAGTTAAAGTGTCTGACCGGAACAAGGCGACGATATGCGCATCTCCTCTTGGTATTGAAGGTTCCCATAAAGTTTTGTTGAATTCCAGCCAGTAGTTGCAGAGAAGTAGCACAGAAACGATTATTGTTCTACAGGCATACTGCATAACTAATCAAGGACCATAACTCTGAGTTAAAGTGTCTGACTGGAACAAGGCAAGGATATGCGCATCTCCTCTTGGTATTGAAGGTTCCCATAGTTTCGTTGAATTCCAGCCTGTAGTAGCAGAGAAGTAGCGCGGAAACAATTTTAGATTCCATCAGTGGGGGATAATTACAGTAAAGTCTGCTTATAACGAACTCATTGGGACATTCAAAATTTGTTCCTTATATCCGGAGTTTCTTGTAAGCATATAGCGAATTAGTTCCTTGTATTAGGAGTTTTTATAGCGAACCGATTTACTTATAACGAACTGATTGTCAAACATTGTCGGCCATTTTGAAGAGCATTTGATTAAGAAAAATTAGTCATTTACTTCTTTTTAGACACAATACCCGAGAGCGTACATTTTTGAATTTGAAAGTCCTTTGCTATTTCAGTTTTAGTGTTTTTAACTATTTTAACTATGCGCATCCCCTCTTGATATTGAAGGTTCCCATAAAGTTTCGTTGAATTCCAGCCAGTAGTTGCAGAGAAGTAGCGCGGAAACGATTTTTACTCTATATGCAAACTGCATAACTAATCAAGGGCCATAACTCTGAGATAAATTGTCTGACCAGAACAAGCCAACGATATGCGCATCTTATATATTCCCATAAAGTTTCGTTGAATTCCAGCCACTTGTTGCAGAGAAGTAGCGCGGAAACGATTTTTACTCTATATGCATACTGCATAACTAATCAAGGGCCATAACTCTGAGTTAAAGTGTCGGACCGAAACAAGCCGACGATATGCGCATCTCCTCTTAATATTGATGATTCCCATAAAGTTTGTTGAATTCCAGCCAGTAGTTGCAGAGAACTAGTCCGGAAACGAAATTCGGACGGACGGAAGGACAACGCCAAAACTATATCCCCCTCCCGATTCCATCGGCGGGGGATAACAACTAAATTATAACTTCCAGGTACATGGATTAAACTTCTGTTATCAAATGTTTCAACAGGTCTAGGATTTCATGATATTCATGAAAGGTTTATACATTGATTTCAACAAGAGCCACCGCCGGGCGGGGGCAACGCTCGACTTTTTACTTTTTCTAATCGCAAACATAGAAAGGTTTGAACATATATTAACGTTTCCTTTTTATAAATTTAGTTTGTCTGTCTTGTCACATTAGTTTTCTTTATATATTTTGTATATATATGAATAGAAACATTAAGCATATTTCTAAAAATAGCAACAGTACGCAATTTCTTAAAATAGCAACATGACGCAATTTCTCAATATAGAAAAAATGACGCAATTTCTAAAAATACAAAAAATGACATAATTTCTAAAAATAAAAAAGTGATGCAATTTCTAAAAATAGCAACAATGATGCAATTTCTAAAAATAGAAAAATTGACGCAATTTCTAAAAATAGAAAAAATGAAGCAATTTCTAAAAAAAGAAAAAAATGACGCAATTTCTAGATATACTAAAATAGAAATTATGACGCAATATCTAAAAATAGAAATTATGACGCAATATCTAAAAATAGAAATTATGACGCAATTTCTAAAAGTAGAAAAAATGACGCAATTTCTAAAAATAGCACCAATGACGCAATTTCTAAAAATAGAAATTATGACGCAATTTCTAAAAATAGAAATTATGACGCAATTTCTAAAAAATGACGCAATTTCTAAAAATAGCACCAATGACGCAATTTCTAAAAATAGAAAAAATGACGCAATTTCTAAAAATAGAAATTATGACGCAATTTCTAAAAAGAAAAAAATGACGCAATTTCTAAAAATAGCACCAATGACGTCATTTCTAAAAATAGAAATTATGACGCAATTTCTAAAAATAGAAAAAATGACGCAATTTCTAAAAATAGCACCAATGACACAATTTCTAAAAATAGAAATTATGACGCAATTTCTAAAAATAGAAAAAATGACGCAATTTCTAAAAATAGAAAAAATGACGCAATTTCTAAAAATAGAAATTATGACGCAATTTCTAAAAATAGAAATTATGACGCAATTTCTAAAAATAGAAAAAATGACACAATCTCTAAAATTAGAAACAATGACGCATTTTCTAAAAATAGCAACAATGACGCAAATTCTAAAAATAGCACCAATGATGCAATTTCTAAAAACAGAAATTATGACGCAATTTCTAAAAATAGCAAAAATGATGCAATCTCTAAAAATACTAAAAATAGAAATTATGACGCAATTTCTAAAAATAGAAAAAATGACGCAAATTCTAAAAATAGCACCAATGATGCAATTTCTAAAAACAGAAATTATGACGCAATTTCTAAAAATAGCAAAAATGATGCAATCTCTAAAAAAACTAAAAATAGAAATTATGACGCAATTTCTAAAAATAGAAAAAATGACGCAATATCTAAAAATAGCACCAATGACGCAATTTCTAAAAAACAGAAATTACGACGCAATTTATAAAAATAGAAAGTATGACACAGTTTCTAAAAATAGCACCAATGATGCAATTTCTAAAAATAGAAATTATGACGCAATTTCTAAAAATAGAAAAAATGATGCAATCTCTAAAAATACTAAAAATAGAAATTATGACGCAATTTCTAAAAATAGAAAAAATGACGCAATATCTAAAAATAGCACCAATGACGCAATTTCTAAAAATAGAAATTATGACGCAATTTCTAAAATAGAAATTATGAAACAATTTCTAAAAATAGAAAAAATGATGCAATCTCTAAAAATACTAAAAATAGAAATTATGACGCAATATCTAAAAATAGAAAAAATGAAGCAATTTCTAAAAATAGAAATTATGATGCAATTTCTAAAAATAGAAAAAATGATGCAATCTCTAAAAATAGAAACAATGACGCATTTCTATAAAAAAAAAACAAAAAAACAATGACCCAATTTCTCTAAATAGAAACAATGACGCAATTCTATAAATAGAAACAATGACGCAATTCTATAAATAGAAACAATGACACAATTTGAGTTATTGTTGTTGTTGTTGTAAATATATATATATATAGACACACACACACCAATAAATATTTAAATATGGTCATTTACTGCACAAATCTGAGAAAATTCAGTAATTTAACCTTCAAGGTCAAGGTCATTTAAGAGCCCAAGCAAAGTTGGGTTTGATAAACAACAAGGTCTGGTCCTTAAGAATGTTCTCTAATAATATGAAGTTGATCCCTTCAATAATAGCAAAGTTACAGTCAGTGACCGCCAAAACCATGAAAATTTCAATAATTTGACCTTCAAAGACAATGTCATTAATGTGTGAAGGTCAAGGTCTTCCGGTTATATCTTTAACAGTAATCTTTGAAGATTATTATGTTCAAGTTTCAGGACAATCCATTCAAAATAACAAACTTACAGCCAATAAAAGCCAAAAAAATGAAAATTTCAATAATTTGACCTTCAAAGTCAAGGTAATTTATGAGTGAAGGTCAAGGTCTGGCTGGTTATTTTTAAGGGATATCCTTAAAGATTATTATGTTCAAGTTTGAAGACAATCCATTCAAAAATAACAAAGTTACAGCCAATAACAGCATGAACAAGCAAAAATTGGACTTTTAACCTTGAAGGTCAAGGTCATTTATGGATGAAGGTCAAGGTTAGTGTGGTCTACTGAAAGGTCTTGTCCCAAGGGTTGTTGTGGCCAAGTATGAAGACAATACACAAAGAAATAAAAAAGTTATGATCCAGGTACAAGTTTTTGGACGGCAACGGCAACGCCGACCTGACTGTAGCAATACCTCTATTTTTTTTTAAAAAAAAAAAGTCGAGCTAAAAACTAATGTCCCCTGTTATCATGGAAAAGCATAATTTTAAAGTAATTATAAATTTTAAAAATCTAAGCTAACCTATCATGATCCCAGTCTCTACGTCTTTCATCACGTCTATGATCATAATCATTTCTCTCTCTTCTAAATTTGTCTCTGGCTTTCCTTCTCTCATATTCATCATCACTGTCAGCCATTTTTACCTAAAATATATTAAAGACAAAACTGTCAGTATAAACACTTATGTCCATAACTTGACACTTTCACATCAGTCAATGTTTAAACAAACCTATTGGCACTTAAAACAGGGGAATTTTTCTAAATTCTAAGCATTATATATTATTTCTTTAATATTTTGTTATCTTTCAGTAATTCCATATAAAGGGACAAATTGCTGTGATGCGATTATACCAACCAAATTACTGAGTAATCAATTCTTTTTAATCTTGTAGTGATTAAACGTGTAGGACATTTCTAACACCCAGTTGGGTTGAATCTTTAGCAATGTGGTTGAGTGTCCGCCTTGTAATCGAGAGGTCTGGGAATCAAATCCCGGTCAGTGCCTGAAGATTTTTCAGGTTTACAATAATGTTGACGAGGTTAAAAGTTAAAACATTAATAGCCATGCTAATACTAATAGTGTTTTCATTTGCCAGCATAAAGAATTGACTAGCAACCAATTACAGACAGAAGGATGGAGCAGTGTATCTAACATGTCCCCTACAGGGAACTTTAAAGATAAAATACATTCAGCATCAGCATACAGTATTTGCTCATGGACAGTGATTAGGATCCTAATCTTTCTACTTTCACTATCGATAGTCTGTATCATATTTTCGGGAATTTTGATTGGATGGCCTTGTTTCGGTATTTACTTTGCACACACTCAAATTATACACTGCACTCAATTAATGAATTATTTTGGAACATTGGTTAAAGTTAGGCATAAGGCCGGGTGATGAATTCTTAGGAGAACATATACTATTTTAATAAAACATGTTGACCACACATGTATTTATCAGTGTTCCAAGTTGGAGGATGAAGACGTAAATTATTGCAACATAATGAAACTTTAATCTGACACATTTCCAGAGTGTCTGATAGTTTGATAAACACACTAATCATGCATGACCTTTCACATTTGGGCCGCTTATGTAATTTACACGGCCGCTTATTGATTTTAAGTGTGGTAGTTGTCGGATACTTTAACCTTACGTTGAGGCCAGTAAAATTCGCCAATTAAAGATTTTATGTGCCAGAATTAATATTTTGTCGCATTTGCCACCACTGGGGAAAGACAATCCTTGAAGAAATACGACTTTTTAACTGAAAGGCCCATAGCAGTATTGTGCGAACTAATATCGCACCTTGTGCAATTTTTATGCGACAATTTTCGTAAATGTGCAATATTCTCGCAAATCGCATGCCTTTCCCTGTCACTGTTTTCTATAGCATGAGTTCAGTTGCAAGGCCATTTTTTATGATTATATCACCAAACGAAACCTTTCATACAACAGAAATTTACAGACACTATGAAATGTCATAAAAATTTCATGAGAAGTCCAAGTTACTTCCCTTTTATGCTAGATTTACGTTTCCCAATGGGTTTTTGGGAGTTTATTTTTGTTTCGATTTAATAAAAAGAACAAAAATATGTGAAACATTTAACACCTTAGTTATTTAGAATTAATTTAAAAACTTATGCTATAGAAAATAGATTTTTAGGGAAAAAAAGAGATTAGTGTTATATCGGAGAGCGTTATAATGTGGCTGCAGTGTATTTGTTTTTTGGGGGACGCGGCTGCAGTGTATTTGGTTTTTGGGGGAAAATTGCTAATTTATTATATTAGAAAAGGCTTCCTATGAATATTTATCTCCATTTTGTGGGTTTTATATGTTTAGAATGCATTCTAACAGTTGTAATTAATTTAAACAAGTGTCGGCGAAAACTTGAATGCTTTTTAAATAGTCGATTTTTTTCTGCCTTTCATATTTATGAAAATAAATTGTAGAGAAGTGTATTGATTACAGATGTTGGGCATTTCAATCACCCTTGCTATTGGGTTAACCCTTTGAATAGCTACGTAGCCAAGTGTCCACATTGCAATTTGCGAGGTCTGGGTTCAAATCTCGGGTAGACCCTTGGAATAATATTTAATCTTAATTATCTCCCTTGTATGCATTGCAGTTTCTTTACAAGTGTGTCACGGACAAAGAGGATACTGCAAAGACCGAATATTATCTAGCAGTTTGACGCATAGAATACAATAGATTTTTGTTATCAAAAAGATATCACATAAATAGCAAATATAACCTGTTATTTTGAACAAATTTAATTCAGATTTGATTTCAATGCACGCCGGTAGTACGGTATCGCGGTAGACAGACGTTTCACTATTGAGACGTTTCACACCAAGACGGTTCACACCAAGACGTTTCACTCCCAAATGGGAGTGAAACGTCTTGAAGACATTTCACTCCCATTTTATACCAAAGTCTATATATATACTACTGTAACAATATACCTTAATTTAACTGAAAAATGAAAGTTTGTATGTCATAATTGTTAAAGTTTTTATTTTTTATTTTTTACTTGATTAGAGAGATCTTTGATCTGATATCTTTTCAGATATTTATTCTAGTTTAGGGAAGGTTATCATATATGACCGGATAAAGGCGGATATAATTGTATGAAAGTTGCAGTTCTCTAAAGATGTTAATGATAATAATTTATAAATGATTTTCTTTGCATTATTTTTATATTAATAAGTAAAAAAAATTCTGAAGATAATCTTACATAATATATTAAATATTATTATCTGATTAAATATCATTTTATTTTTGTTATAATTTATAACCAAAACTTATGGAGGAGTTTCTGTTTCCATGTTTTTGGTTTTAATTGGCTGAACATTGTCTAAAATTATTTCAATGGTCCAGTAAACAACTAATTAATAACTGTTGATGCTAAAGTGCAATGTCTAAGTTTGTTAAATGGCTACTGTTCAATTAATCGATAAAGAAATAATTTAAAAGAATAATTAATTTATGCACATTTTCTGCATTTTATTGATCAATATATTTACAAAAAAAACCTAATAAATATATTTTATATATTGATATTATTTAATTACTGTACTGGCAGTGGTTTCAATATTCAAACTGGTACTTACAATGTGTCTTTGTTGTTCACGAACATTTTCATTTTGTTATTCTATCATCTTTCTTGATTTATTATAAATAGAATTTTCTCATGTTGTTACTCTTATAATAAAAAACGATATTTAAGACATTTTATGATTTATCTTTCATATAAACCTCTTATCATTAAACCCATATTTAAATGAGTATGATGATATATATAATCTTCTAATAATTCATCATAATTATGTCCTCATTGAAACCAACATTATTACTCCTAATAGTTAACAGGAATTCTTCAAAACACTGTTTAAATGGAACAAAATTCATTTTTTTAGCTGATACTATACTGTATATCTCATAATTATTTACACATTCTGTTATATTTTAGAAAAAATATACTTTTATAATCATTCTTCAAATTCATAAATTCTTCTTCACAATACTCTCAAATTCAACAAAATGAATCATTAATTTGAATTTCCCCTTCAAAATGAAAATAAATTTTCTTAATAAAAACATCTAAAAATGGGAGTGAAACGTCTATACAATTGACAAAATGGGAGTGAAACGTCTAGGTGTGAACCGTCTTGGGAGTGAAACGTCTCAATAGTGAAATGTCTTGGGAGTGAAACGTCTGACATTCCGGTATCGCCCTCTAACGGTGTTTACAAACTTTAGCTGGTTCTCGACCTTTTTTGCGCATTTAATGAAAAGGGTATTGTAGAACAGACACCAATATTTCTATTAGATAATTTGATTGGACAAAAATTCTCCAATCGTTAAAACTGTAAGAAGTTATTTTTATTGGACACTGCGGGAAAATCAAAACAAGAATTACAAAAGATTAACAATTATGCTTGCCGAAAAGGCTCTTGAATTAATACGAGAGCTACAAAGAACAACTGATGGAACATTACCACCTTTCAATGTAATGCTTGTTTGAAATAAACGCCAAATAAACTGCCCATAGTTTCATTTGATGTTAAAAATAAACAGTTTTCGCGATTTTTCGCCTGACTCATTGCTTGTGATTTTCCTAAAATTTTAACCTGATAAACAAGAAGGTCTAAAATTTGTAAAAGTAAGATAGTGGTGAGAATTTTTAGAAATGTGGTCACACTGCCCAGTCTAGCACACAGCACTCTGGGATAACAAATGGGCAACTCGCCCCCGTCACACCTATGCAGTGTTCTCAGCACGTCCAAAAAGATTTCAGAATGCCAAGGTGAGAACAGTTAGATCACAGTGGCATTGCATAGAACGCAGACTGGCAGCACGCATTTTGATCATGCTCAGTTATTAACGCCATACACATGTAGTATAAGCATATCACTATTTTTTACTCTTTCTTTCCATCTTGCGCATTAACCTGGCAGTAAACTTCAGTTAGTTGAAGGTGGCCAGTATATTGGAAGAAGAAGAATCATACGCCGAATGCGGCATCACTCGGCTTCTGATAAGAGAGCAGTGGGATCACAGTAAGGACGCCATAGCAACTCAGTAGCATCTCCTAAAACGCTATGGGTGTGCCATGAAATTGCAGAATGAATGGTTAGCCAGGGAGCGTTTACAGAGATTGTGCGGCATCTCAAGCAGGCTACTGTGCTTTTACAGAGCTTTATTTTTCTAAAATGCTCTTTCTGTGACTTTACCACACTGTTACAGTGACCATTGCTCTCTCATGGCGTTTATACTGCGTTCATCTGAAATTGCACGGCGCGTATACAAAGATTGTGCGGTGTCCCTAGCATGCTTATACTACATGTGTATGGCGTTAATAACTGAGCTTTATATTTCTAAAACGCTCTTTTTGCGACTTTACTGCGCTGTTACGGCGACCATTGTGCTCTCAGGGCGATTCTACTGCATTCATCTGAAATTGCATGGCGCATATACAGAGACTGTGCGGCGTCTGTAGCGCGCTTAAACTGTGTGTGTACGGTGCTTTTACAGAGCATTATTTTTCTCAATCTCTTTCTGTGATTTTACCGCGCTGTTATGGCGACCATTGGGCTCTCAGGGCGATTCTACTGAAGTTGCAGAATACAGTATATATAATAAAGTGTGTTTGCAAATAGGTGATTCATCTCCTGGTTGATGCTGTGGTTGCAAGGGTCTTGTCTCTGCTTGCATTTTCATATTCCCTGGCTTTATACCCTTTTCACCTCTAAGCGGGCATAGTTTTATTACTTTTTAGCTCGCCTGAGCAATGCTCAGGGTGAGCTATTGTGATGGCCCTGTGTCCGTCGTCGTGCGTCGTCAACTTTTAACATAAACAACATCTCCTCTGAAACCAATGACTGCATATCAACCAAACTTTACAGAAATGATCCTTGGGTAGTCCCCTTTCAAAGTTGTTCAAATGGTTCCGGTCTGTTGCATATGTAGGTCATAGGGCCAGAAAAGGATTTCAAAAAACACAAAATTAAAAATCTTCTTGTCTGAAAGTACATGGGCTAGAGCTTTGATTTTTGGTATATGGTATCATCTATGGGTCCTCTACCAAAGTTGTTCCAAAACCTCAAATAGCTCCGGGGGCCTATATACAGGTGAGCGACTGGGCCATCATGGCCCTCTTGTATTGTATTGTAATTTAAGTCAAAATCATTATATCACTATCAAAATTGGAATGCATTTCAAGATGGAATGTAATCTTATGATACATTGGCTTAGTAACATCTATTAATAACTATTATCTTTACTAGAGGTAGACCTATTCTAGGTGGGGTTACTGTACATAGAACAACAATGTTTCTATAGACTTTTAAGCTCAACTATGTAAAGTATTAGGAAGAGCTGTTGTACAAGCCCAGGTGTTTGGTCGTCGCCATCACACTTTGGTGCAAGTTGTTATCTCCAAAACTAATGAAGAGAATGGGTTGAAACCTCAACACTTTTTTAAAGAGCATAGTAAGAGGTCAATATCCAAGGCCAATAACTCTAACATGGTATTTAACAGAATAATGGTTCTTTTTGAACTTAGAAATTCTACATGTTCAAGCACTGAGAATCATAGGTCTTTTGACAGCTCTTGTCTTTATTTATTCTATATCACACAAATGTTTACAGCATTGTTGAAATGTGATAATTACAGGCAACTGTAAAAAAAGAAATACATGTAGAATTGTATTTATTTATTTATTTATTTAAATAAGTCAATTGTACAAAGTTACATAGAGATGCCATCTAGAAGATTTAGCATTCTTGTTAGTGTAACAGTTTGTTCATGTTTTGCATTATTGATTAATATATGAGTGAAAATGATGCTATGAAATAAGATTTCACATAGACTTGTATTCGATTACTTTTGTAACATTTATAATAATTGAAATGACTGTTTCCCTTGTTCATCACTAGGTTTAGTTATAATAATTGAAATGACTGTTTCCCTTATTCATCACTAGGTTTATATCATATATTAGTAAATTTGATACTTGAAACAAGGATTTTATTGTTACTGTCATTTCAAAATTGGCAGTTAAACCACTTGGCAATAAAGTACTTATTCTTCCATATACAGTTCATTAACACTTAGTACAGAATGAGTGTACTATAAAAAGCCATTAAATGTCCTGTAAATCATCTATGTATTGTTTTTAATACTGATTGTTTACAAATGTACTCAAAAGTCTGCAGATATGAATCTTTGCAGCATTGTTTCTCCTCCTTACATTCAGTGACTGGAAATAACACTGTAATGCATTTATAGGTCTGTGTTCCTGTTCCATGCACTGCCCCAATAAATTCAAGGCTGTTTCCCGGTGAGCTAGGTTTGGTTCTTGTTCAATGGTTCTGGTAAGTTTAGAGAGTGCCACGCATTTATCTTCTTGTTTGTTGAGATGGCTGTATATCTTGTACTGTAGAAAGTATAGGAAAGTTAGAGAATCCACTTCAGCATAGACCATCCAGAAGTCTCGTATTGTTCTGAAAGCTTTGTCCTCTTCTGTAGATCTAAACATTTCCTGTCTTAATTCCTTTGGAGAACAATAGACTTCACATGGCCAAAATTGTACACAATTTGCTGAAGCGTTCTGTAAAGTTTCTTCATTTTGTTGATCACATTCTGCTTTAACAGCTTGTCTGAAAATGTTAATTGTTAAACAAGTTTGTATAACAATGTTAAGGTCGTAGTGCCTTTCAATATTACAGAGAACAATTTCAGCTCTTAGGAACTGCCCTGTACAATATAGCATTGAAGCAAGTTTGAGTTTACTAGATGCAACATCAGTGTTTAGACCCAGGGAGATCCATTTGAGAGCCTCAGCTGATATTGTATTATACTGTTGTATGTTGAGGGAAGCTAAAACAGATCCTAGCCTTGAACAGACAATTGGTGCTAGAAGATTGCGAGCTGTCTTGTCTAGTCCATGACATTGAAGATTAACTAGGTCAGAAATATTCTGCTTTAATGCTTGTATAGGTTCCAAATTCCAGAGGCCAAATAGGGTAGACACATGAGAAGGATCAATTACTGTGAATGATTGTAGGTTTACTATAATATCCTTACATGTTATGAATGGGCATATTGATATATTGTTGAACTTGAGCTGAAGCCTTGTTCCAAGATCATCACACTTGATTCTTAGTAGTGCTACTCCATTACTGTTGATGATATGCTGAAGTATATCTAGTATGAAAGGTTTGACATCAGGTGTAATCTTCCCTCTCATCAAGTTGTTTCCAGGTATGAAAAAATGTGGACAATTTTCATTAAGAATGTTAGTGTACAAATCATGAATACACAATGATAAACATACAATTAAGTTATTTTCCTGCCAGATAATAGACTGGGTATTTTCAATACAGTGGAACAAAACTGTCTTACACATGTAACTAGAAATCACATCTTTAAACAATGGATTTATGAATGTTTTTATTATCATTTTCATCAGGACATAGCAGCGAATCTGTGTAATGTTTAGATTGTACATTAAACACCTTTCGGCAAAAGATGTTGATATCCTCCATTCAAGATCCTCATGTTCACTGCCATGTTGACCAACTCCAACAAGAAAACAACCAGAACTACAGCAGTATTGTTTGATTTCATCAGAAGGCCATTGACCAACACTTTGCTGGTGCAACCATTGTCTGGCTTGTGTCGGCCATGTTGTACAGGGAAGGGCAATAACACCATCTTTCTCAAAAGGAGTGTCTGGCAATGTAAATGCTGGCCCATGTCTTTCTAGTCTTTCAGTAAACTTAAACTTTCTACTATACATTATATGAGATGTCAAAAGATTTTTCATTAATACTCTTCCATATCTGTCTCTTCTGCAAAGGGTACGGAGGAATTTTATAGACTTATAATAGCGGATAGGTAGAGGAGAATCACGTCTTAACACTTGAAGTTGACAGTAACCTGGGGATACAGAACGATCTTGAATCATCAGTAGATTTATTACACCAGGTTGCCAATCACTCCAGTCTTGTATCACATTGAACATGTCAACACAGTAAACAATATCAGTATCTGAGTTTAGTCCAATTGTAGTTGTGCCTTCAACTTGACTACCCATCATATAGGGACTACATATATGGCTTTTAAAATGTAGCCTGCCAGACAGCTTTAACACTGATTCATACAGAAGCATTGATCTCCTCCTTTTTAGTACCATTCTGGTATCCACACCTATATCAGCAAGAACTTCTGACAGCTTCATTGATACAGCTTCCTCCGAGGAATCTGGTACTTGAAACATTCTGAAAAAAAAATTGTCGCTTGATTTTACCTTTTAATGCTGCTGCATGTATCGATTTATAATTGTAATTTTTCAACAACAACAACAACAAAATAATAATAATATTAATAAAAAAAAAAATAAAAAAAGAATATTAAAATTTTGTTGTGTTACCGAATTTTGTTTGTGTTTATTTTTGATAGACTGTGAACTTCTCTATGAACATATAAGTTTGTGTATATTGCAT